AAAAATGACAGATTCCAAAGCCAAATGTAATATTTTGTTTATTTTTAATTGTAAGAGTACTTATGGCCAGACTAAGTATTCCTGAAATTATTTTAATATTTTAATGTAATTTTAAAGTATAGCACCTATATATTTTAAATTTGTTATAAAAATAGGCATAAATCTGATCGCAAGTTCATTTTATTTGCCTTACTCATCAGCCGCCGTCCCTCTGTCGCTTTTGCCTTCACTGACTGCAGAGTTTTAGCATAATGACAAGGCCAGATAAATTCATTGCACGTAACTTGTTATACAAATCGTAATGACAGAGTTTGTGAACAAAATTGCAATTGTATTTCCCGTTTTACTCCAACGATCAAATTGGCTTTTACTTCATTTCTGCGAGGATGCCAAGTTTCAGCTTTGAAAGAGACGAAGGAAAAATGGATTTTATATTTATTCCGTTTCGTACATACTGCGCCAGAATTATTTCAGTAAAAAGCCCAGCAACCATTATTTGGATGAAATATTAATCCGGGGTAACTGTTTGATTTAATTTTAATTTTATTATCGTCCTCGCGTGAATTTAAGAGTTATTATTTAATGTTTATAATTAACGGTAATTTTGAAGCACTTTCGTATAAACAACGTTTACATATCTAACATATGGTACTCTTTTAAGGTGTTTAGATGCTCTACTATATCTTTTCTCTTAGTGCAATATTTTTGATGTGTATTGTGAGTTGTGAATGTTTTTTTCATGTACCTAAACTTTTATTATAGATAATCTAAGAATTACAAAAAACGAAATTCACAAGAATAAGACAGATATAATAAAAAGGTGAGGGACACGAACAATAAATTGTTTACCTAAATACGGGTGCAATGGTGCTGTATATGCAAAGTAGCAGAGCACCATTTTAGAAGGCACACACAAAATAAAACAATATATCTATCTCGGTTTTATCACAGAACACTAAATTAAACTCAGCAGGAAAACAATATAACAGTATATCAGTGCGTACATAAAATGAAACATGAATATACGTAAATGTCTCCGTCTCCGTCTAATGAGGCCGAAAATCCGCCATGTTTAGCGCGCCAAATGTCATTGTCACGTCAGTTCGGCCGTCTGTTTTGGGTTGTACATTATTTATTGACTTTGATATCGATTTAATATGATTGCTTATATAAAATTTCTAATTTTATCATGCTTAAAACATACAAAAATAATAATTAAAACATATTTTATAGGATCTCAAGAAAGTCGATGCCCCAAAACTATTACCTATATATATTTAAATTCATTATGGAGCCCTCATCCGAAACATAGATTATACACTTAATTTATTTGAATCCGAAATATCGGATACCATTTTTCGGTCGGAATCTATTCATCATGACACTAATCATAAATACCTCTTTAAAATATGTCATCAAAACATATTTAGACATTCTGTTTAGATATTTCGGGAAAAAGGCTACCGACAAAATCTCTTCGGAACTATTTCAATAAAATAGTTTTATTCCGCAGTGAGTAAAACACTATTGTAAATTCGTTACATATTTATTAATTAAGTGATTTTAGAGAGGAAGTCACAAGGAATGACGTTTGTAATTTCATTAACGAATAAATGTTCTGTAGGTGTTTTTTTTTATCAGGCGGTCCCTTGATAAGTTTAAAATTTGCGCGCGGTGCGGCAGTGCGGTGCACCTTCCTTGAGGTGCGCTGCGGTAGTGTGTTACGAACTTTAGAGTCAGCAAAACAATTAAAATAGATTGTAATAGTCTAAGAAAAACACGTACTCAAAATACGATAACATTCAGCATGCTAGAAATGGGCTGATGGCACTGTACTATGCCATATCTTTATGTTTTGCGGCAAACGACAACTTTATAAAATCAGTGTAGCAAATTTTAAAAATCGTCATATCGTTTACTTGGAAAATTTCAAGCACGAACTCGTCTTAGATTTCACATAACATCTAAATCACATCATCTTTGCACATAACAATATACTTACTTCCTATTAAAGTATAAATTCTACAAATACATTCATACTCAACAATATTTAAAATAAAATAAGCCAAGAACGTTTATCGATAAAACCTACTAACATTAAAATCTTCTGGGCAGCACTAACACCGCCATGTTTTGTGGCCAGATGACGTCACAGTGGCACGAATTTGTTGTTGACGTTTCATTTCCATAGGTTTCCTACTTCAGTGATTCACAGCACACCTGGTGTTACCAGAGTGGAGTGGCCACCGAAGTTCATAGACATCAACTACGTTATTGCTACCTTGAGACATGATTTCAAAGTCTCAGTTTTTACGGTATAACAGCTGCCACTCTACAGACCGTAAATCATTATTGCTTCACGGCAGAAATAGACAGGGCGGTAGTACTTACCCATGTGGGCTCACAAGGCGTCCTACCACCAATAATTACGCAAATTGTAATTTGTTACATGATTATTCCTTCACCGTGGAAGTCATTCGTGACCATTTCTTACGTACGTATTTCATTAGAAAAATTGTTACCTGTCTGGAGGATTCGAACACCGGCGTGGTCGCATCGCTCGATACAAATGCACCAAGCGTCCTTTATCCTTTTAGGCCACGATGACGCTGAGCTGAATAATAGCATCTTTCTTAATTAGCTATTTTGTAATATGTAATGTGTTATATTTATTAACAGGGCAATATTGATATTACCTAAGACTGCAACTTCTGATTCTCCACGTGCCAGTATGATCATACCTGGCCGATATGATGCTGATAAGTACAATATTTCCGATGTCATGGCTGTATCTTTAGTCTTACAAAAGGTAAGTTTTCCGAATAGCGTATAACATCATTTAAAAATACAGTACTTTTACTATAGTTACGTAAAAACTGACTAACTCAATTTTTTCAGATTATTATGATGGAAGACGACAACGCAATGGTTGCCGGCATTTTGTCAATTTTAGATTTAGATACTGTAAAAATAAGTCATTTATTACAAATGACTCCAATGTTCTTGAAAAAAATGGTGGTTGCTTCTCAGGTACTAATTAGATAAATGTCTTCTACTGAAATGGTTACTAGGGTTGCTTATATTCGTTGTACATTTTAACGATAGACCATATAGAGTAAGATCCCAGGGCCCCCAGACGTCACGTATTTCCTGACGAACGAAATGTGGCCAATTGCGTAGTGTTAGTATGTACTAAGAACGCATGCCTACCTGCTACCTTGCTTAGACGGCCAATTTTCAGGTATCAGGTACTCAAGATACATAAAATCATTACCTACTTCACGTGTTTTCTGAAAGCTGATTTTTACGTATATTTTAGGCAATATCCTTAAAAATAAGTCACCAATACTCCCAGACACTTTCCGTCGGCCAAATTGCTTTGCAGACGCTTTAAAGCTCCCAAAATAATGACCTATTTTCACGTAAATTCTGAAAGCTGATTTTTATATTTTAATCAATTAATTGTTTTTAAATATTTCCCAGTTTTTCGATTCTCTATTTATTACTGTACTAGTATGGTCGCTTCTCCCAACTTTCTCTAACGCGCTTGTTATAAGAGGATTAACGATCGTTCATAATGATCATAAAAAACGCGAGACAGAAACGTAAAAATTATTTACGTAATCCTTACTACATTTTATAACCTGCTGAGTGTGCATTGTTGGTACCGGTACAGAGAACAAAATTTTCAGTTCGAATTCAGTTTACCTACTTAATTATTTTCAAGGAATTCCTTTTAGTCGGGTTTTAAATGAAAATTTTCAGGACGCATTACCAGTTCGACTCAAAGGTACCCATTATTTAAATACTCCGACAGGATTCGAAACTGTTTTCAATGCTATAAAAGCATTACTGAACGAAAAAAATAAGAAACGCGTGAGTATCATATTTTTAATTTAATTTGAAAGATGAAAACGTGCATTAAGCTTATAAAAATATCTTTCCTATATTTTATGTCTAGCTCTACGTCCACAACAAGAATTATGAAGAGATGTACAAATATATCCCTAAGGACATTTTACCAGTAGAATATGGAGGGAGCGGTGGTTCTATTGAAGAAATTATAGGTAAATGAACTATTTACAGAACAGTACAGTAGAATATGTCTTGAGTATGGGCTGGATCCATTCTGTTTATAATTGCTATGAAACGATTCTGACGTTTCGGTTTGTAAAATAGTCGTAGTTCCAATGCTGATTCGCGCCAATAATATAGATTTGACAAAACTAAGTCCAGATGTAGCAGGCTGTCCCTTGGATTCCCGAGAGTCAATAGCGAAGGTCACTATTTACCATCAGGTGGGCCGTATACACGTCTCTCTATAAAGTCTATTGAGGAACATAAAAATAAATTGACGGCGTTATTTAAGTTAAGGTGTCCATGGACTCTTTTAACAGATTAACCGTAGGTGGGCCATGGGCTCATCTACCAATATGCACTGAAAAGGTAATAGAAGAAAACGGAGAACTGTTGATATTGTTTTTGATTACAAAAAAAAAACATTTGTCGTGCAATAGTTTTAGTTTTATGAAGTCGTCGTGGCCTAAAGGATAAGACGTCCGGTGCATTCGTATGTAGCGATGCACCGGTGTTCGAATCCCGCAGGCGGGTACCAATTTTTCTAATGAAATACGTACTCAACAAATGTTCACGATTGACTTCCACGGTGAAGGAATAACATCGTGTAATTAAAACCAAACCCGCAAAATTATAATTTGCGTAATCACTGGTGGTGGGACCTCTTGGGAGTCCGCACGGGTGGGTGTCACCACTCCGCCTATTTCCGCCGTGAGGCAGTAGTGCGTTTCGGTTCGAAGGGTGGGGTAGCCGTTGTAACTATACGGAGACCTTAGAACTTATATCTCGAGGTGGGTGGCGCATTTACGTTGTAGATGTCTATGGGCTCCAGTAACCACTTAACACCAGGTGAGCTGTGAGCTCGTCCATCCATCTAAGCAATAAAAAAATAAAAGAAAAATGTTTCAATGTTAATAACGTAACTTTTTTTATAGTATACGTAAATTGTATTTTTATAAAAAGGTTGCAGAGCTTAGATTTTAAAAGGACAATGCCCATTTTCTATGGGCGTTTGGGCCCCTAAAAAAAGTTGTCGGGAGATGATGATTTTAACTTAATTTGATAGACACAGAAATATCGTTTCATATTCAGAAAACGATTTTTATATTCTCACCCAGGATTAAGAGAAATCTGTTTTTTTCTGCAGCTAAAATTAAGTTGTTAATTGTTTTCTTCGAAATCAATAATCACTCTCATCATTATTTACAGTATTAAATAAGTTAATTGTGGTTAATGTTGCTAGAAATAATCCCTTACGTACATTTTATTATTATATCCTCATATTAATAATAAAATGAAATGAAATCCGGAAGCCGGCAACGATATTGTTGTTGTTGTTTTTAAATTCGCCAACAAGCAGGCAAAGAGCGTAGCCTATATAGCAGGGGTGGGCAAATACTTTAAAGCGCGGGCCAAAATGAAATTTTCAAAATGTCTCCCGGGCCGGAGGACTATACCGCATATGCTTTTTTACCGCATATGCTTTTTTAATGCTGATGTCAACAAAATCTCATAAAAGAGTTTAAAAAAATTTATGTGCGGAATTTTTCAACGGGCCGGATAAAATTAGCAAAAGNAAAATGAAATTTTCAAAATGTCTCCCGGGCCGGAGGACTATACCGCATATGCTTTTTTACCGCATATGCTTTTTTAATGCTGATGTCAACAAAATCTCATAAAAGAGTTTAAAAAAATTTATGTGCGGAATTTTTCAACGGGCCGGATAAAATTAGCAAAAGGGCCGGATCCGGCCCGCGGGCCGGCTTTTGCCCACCCCTGCTATATAGCCTAGTCTGTCGTAGTTATATTTTTTATATATTTTTTTATTTTAATAAAAAGCCGGTGTATCTCTTTTTGTTGCTTTTTGGGAGTTTTGACGTCAACTCGATGAATAGCACATTGAGTGAGCGTGAATTTCCGCAGACCTTTTATCTTGAAACAGTCACTGCTATGTTAGCCACAGTTTTATTCCAATGCCTCAATAATCGTGAACAACGATTATTGACATTTAATACACAAAACAACACCCAATTTGTATATTATACATCACAATAAGCTATTAAAAAACATAAAATAAAACTTCAAGTGACGCTTCATTCGGGTTGCTGCCAAAACTCTCTGATCATATTTTATATAATAAGAATAGAGTAATGGTAGGCCATTGAGATTTTTACTAATGGAGTCATTAATATCTAAAAATATTAAATAATTCATGGTTTTAAGTAATAATTATTATTACAATACATAAATATTGAATTGAACAACAATAAACTAAAAAGTCTGTGAATTATAACCATACAGCTTTTTTTTAATTTGTTGTTCAAGTCACAGACAACTCTTTCGTTTGTCAGCATATACGTTTACTATAAGGCTGTATGGGCTAATTTGCCCTTTGTCTATTGGCGAATTTAAAAACTATGGCACTCAGTTTTAGGATGTTATCAAATAAGTAATTCATTTTTTTGGAAAACAATGCCAGGGTGAAAGAAATGTTGATACATATACTAAACAACATGAAAAAATAAGACGTAATTTTTCAAGTACAAATAGTTTTGTCATAAAGTTGGCCCACTTTTGGGCATTGTCCTTTATACGTATCTTTTTTTTGTCTTTTAGTATTTATTTTGTTAGTGGTCCTTCTGTAGTCGAAATTCGACTATACTTAATTGAAATTATAAGTTTGAACATTATTAAGGTTCTATTGTCAAAGACTATCATACTTCTATAATCACAGATTTCGCTAAAACTACACTATAGACAAACATTAATAAAGATAAACAATATTAATCTATTCTCAATTTGACCACAGACTTTTATTTATGGCTATAGTTTTAAAACCACAGACTTAAACAATGACAAAAGTTTGACAGTAAATAAAGGGTATATATATGCGTGTGTATGTGTGTGTGTGTGTGCGTGCGTGTGTGTGTGTTTGTGTGAGTGTGTGCGTGTGTGTGTGGCAAATACATGGTAGTGTGTGTAATACTTTTTTTATTGATTTAATGTATTATTAATTTTTTTAATTAATTAATTAATTTAAAAAAAAAATTAGCATTCTGCACTCTTTCTCTATATTTTCTATAAGTGTGGGAAAGGAGATTGCCCATTCTTCTATGGACCGCCGCTGCGCATTTTTTTTTTGTATGATAGCATAAATTTTATATAAGAGAAAAGAAATATCGTACTTTCAAAGGAAATAAAAATTATCCATTTATTTTGTGGGGTTTTTGTTGTTCTTTGAGTTTTTGTTAAATTTTGAGGTTATTTTTGTAAGAAACCTTCTACAAAAAAACAAGCACTCCTTATAACGATTATGATTTGAATTCTCACACGACAACAGAAAAAGTTCCAACAAACTAATGAATGATCCCAAGTAAATAATATTACAAATAATAGTAGGTCATGCTAACTGTAGGTGGTGTGTAGGTAGGTACCTATAGCGAGTAGGAAATACTAATTCTTGAATATAAGAATAAAATAGTTTTATTGGTCCATATGATCACAGAGACACGAACCGTTGTAAAAACGTTGTACACAATCCGCACCACCAGCTCAGAAACAATAGGTACAATAATAGTCTTTAAAAAGATTCTTGAGCGTGCAGGAATCCGAAGACTCTACTGGACACGAACTCAACGCAATTATAAGTTATTTATTAGCACAATAAATTCAATATCTATCAGTAAAAACAACTGCTCTGTTTAACTTGACAAGACATGACACTTTTGACAATTCATCTTTTTCCGTACCGTATAGTGCTACCAACAGTTAGTTTAACTTTCCCTGACTATAAGTGCTTTGTCAACTAAAGAAAGGTTTTTAATTAGTATAGTAATATATTTTGTGTATATTTTTATTTATTGATGCCTAAAACAGTATTATATGTTAATTATTAATAAAAATATTCGTATCGCCGAAAAATTACATAGTTGAAATTATTTTTAAAACTCAGCGTCTGCCCTTACACTATTAGTAAAGACTGATTATGGGGAGATTCTTAAAATTGGCAACACTGCTTTCAGTCATAAAATAATACAATAAAATCGAATAAACAACTAACTAAATACATAAAGTTAACCCCACATACGATTGCAATCAAATGGACTAAGAAAAGCCAAGTAAATATTTTATTATTTATGAGTATACTGTTGTGGCTATACTGTTTTATTATAACGCGGTACTGATTTTGGGCATTGTCCTTTCATACTCTTCCGTCTGCGCATTTTGCATAAAAAGGTATACAAAGTTTTTGTTTCACGTATTAATATATAGATTATAGACACGTATATTTATTCTTCTGAAACTTATTAATCATATTACCGTGTTTTTAATTAAGTAGTAGTAAAGTTCTTACTGATGGTATGGCGTCTTTCAAGCCCGCAAGGTAGCTACCACAACCCTGCCTATTTTTCCTTTTTTTTTCCTACCTAAACTGATAGCCTTGAGAGGCTATATCACCGGAACCTTAACTATTAGGTGAGCTCACGGGGCTCAAACCTGACGACGTTGCTAACACGAACCCTAGAAAGAGCCGTGCTTCGCAAAATCTACTACCGGATCGGAAACGCGACCCACTGACAAGATCCGGCGATAAACTCAGTGGGCTGTGTCTGGAGGGTTAATTTACTCGTCGAGCCCTTCGTCGCGAACGACGGGTTCGACGAGAATGGTGACCGGTATTTTTGCCGTGAAGTAGTAATGCATTTTGGTTTTGAAAGTGGGGAGCCGTTGTACTGTAAAACTGAGACTTAGGTAACATGTCTCAAGGTGGGTTGGCCCGGAATTAATTTCGGTGGAGGTTTTTTTTTCTTTTTTTTTGCTTGTTATTGGTTTTTATTGCTTAGATGGGTGGACGAGTTCACAGTCCACCTGGTGTTAAGTGGTTACTGGAGCCCATAGACCTCTACAACGTAAATGCGCCACCCACATTGAGATATAAGTTCTAAGGTCTCAGTATAGTTACAACGGCTGCCTAACCTAACCTTCTTGCCTTCAAACCTAAACGCATTACTGCTTCACGGCAGAAATAGACAGGGCGGTGGAACCTACCCGTGCGGACTCACAAGAGGTCCACCAGTAATTAAGCAAAATATAATTTTGCGGGTTTGATTTTATTACACGATGTTATTCCTTCACCGTGGAAGTCAATCGTGAAAATTTGTGAAGTACGTATTTCATTAGAAAAATTGGTACCCGCCTGCGGGATTCGAACACTGGTGCGTCGCTACATAAGAATGCACCGGACGTCTTATCCTTTGGGCCACGATGACTTCAAAACCGTCTTATGTGACAGTAACCATGAACAAATATTAATTTTTTCTAATATATTTTTATTGTGAATCATCTCTATCGATTTTCACGATCTAAATGAATTCGTTTTTCGTATTTAGATTACTGGAAGAAAAAAGTAAAGGAATACAGTGACTGGTTGGAAGAAGATGATCAATACGGTACGGACGAGACCAAGCGACCAGGGAAACCGAAGACCGCTGAGGATATGTTCGGGGTCGAGGGATCCTTCAGGCAACTTGAATTCGATTAAATGTTGTACTTATTGTTTCTCCTGTAGGAAAATAAAGATTTTCTATTCTTTGTTTACATTTATTTTCTTAAATAATAATAATAATAAGCCCATTTTATTTAGAGATCATGCGGTGCTTCGTGGTCATGATATAATAAATTTCATTTCTTGTGTTTTATCTGGAGAGATCCATGTCCAGCGATTTTTTGGTTTTAGTTTGAATATTGTATTTATAATTTTTAAGTTGTTTTCTTGCGCATATTGAATTAATCTTGTTCCTCGAGCATTTCTGATGCCGTAACTATACTCTCCTGTAGCGGAGCGTTCGTACTTTTTTGTAATTCCGATTTGAGCATTAAAATCGCCTATAGAAAATACGTACTCAGTAGATGTAGTATCGTGAGCTTTCGCTAAGTTCTCGTAAAAATAGTATATTTCTTCTTGTGATGAGTTTTCAGTGGGGGCGTGCGCTTGAATTATTGCAAAACACCAGTTTTCCATATTAATTTCCAGTAATCACACTCTTTCAGATATTCCACTAAATTTTATCATGTTGTCTTTGTGTTTCTTCCTTACTAGAAAACCTACTCCATAGAGTCCTTTTGCTTGGCCAATGTAGTAGAAGATATATTCGTCGTCTTCAATTATCTGTTCTCCTAGGCGGCGAACTTCGCTCAAACCTATTATATTATGCTTAATATCTTCTAGTGCAGCTTTGAGATCAATATATTTTTCATCAGAACACAATGATCTTACGTTGAGGGTGCAAATGTATACGGCATATTTCATTTTGACAATTGTTCTTGGGGGGCTTTGGTCGAACTCTCCCGCGGTGACCGGCCGTATTGGGAGATTATGGGTTGAAGGAGGGTCCGATTTGGATTGCTATGCTGTGTTGTAGTCTGATGACTTCGATTGGCGTTGGGTTGATTCTGTCTGAGCGCGAATTAGTTTGGGCTTTTGTATTATATAATTCTTCATGTCCCCTTTATTTTTCTTAGGTGGTTGTTTGCTAGTCTGTTGAACATATTGATTGACTGGGTGGAGCGTTTCTGGGGACTCTGATAGGTTTCTTTTACTTGACTGTTTCTGTGTTGGTTTTTTTGTTGCACAGTATAATAATTTTGTCGTATTCTATAAAGGCGGTGTTTCCTTCATCTTTTTCTTTCTGTCGTTGGACTTGTAGCTCTTTACGCTTTATGAAGACTTGGATTAGGTAGTTTTCTTTTAAATAATATGAAGTATTTTGAAGATTATATTTATTTTTTTGTATTTTTAATTTGGAACCTAATAGAGCAAAGCCCGCGACGGTCAGACCTTCGTTATTTTATAAAAGCTGAAAGTTTCTCTGTGTATGTCTCCAACACAGGTAAGAACGACCCGCGACTATAGAGTTCCGATTGTGGTTACTTGGGCAGGTAAGAGGCAGTAAAGGTATATAAAATAGTACCTGAAATTATTTAAAGTATAAAGCTATTTTTTTATTATTTACTCCAGAATATATTTGGAAATCACGATGTCCATTGCCGGACATTTTTTACAGTTCCCTGCCACACACAACAAAATTTTAATTATACTTTCGTTATACTATAAAAGCTGAATTTTATATATGTTACTTAGGGACTTATAAAAATATGTTACTCCAATAGCCAGACAGTTTTAATGGTTCTTACATCTTGCCAGACACATTGAGAGCCCGCTGTAGGTGCGAGCGCGAGGTAGCAAATGTTCAAGCGGGTGTGAGTAAGATAGTGCTTAGTATATTGTTGTTATACGCCAAGATCCGGGCCTAGGGCAGCATGATTTGAGGGGCAGGAACATTTTTGAAATGCCAAAATTTCAGAGACGAAGAAAAGAAAAGAGTCTCCTTTGTAAATGAGTTCAGATTATTTTTTATAAAAAAAAAATATAAAGGTATTTTAAATTTAAAATAAAAATGTTGATCAAAATTAATAAAATATATTCTAACATGTAGTGTTTTTTGAAAACTTATCAAAATATGAGACCAATAATGAGAAATTGTATAGTTACAATTTAATACTGAGAACTGCTATTTTTAAGCTATTTAATTACACACCCAGTACCTTTTACTTTTCATTAAATGTATTTTTTTAATTAAATTGTTGGTTAAAAGTCTAATAAGTTTTCATATTGGACCCATTTAGGTGTAACACCAGATAGATTTGAACACCGGCATAGTCGTACCGCTTGATAAAAACACACCCCGCTTAAGCTACAGCAATTTTAAGTACATACTTCATTCAGCTCTGTTATTGACTTCTGTTAGCTGTGTCAGGTAAGCTGTAGCAAATGGTGAGGCGATCTCATCCGAGACACCAAAAACTACGTTTACGCATTGACAATTTCCATTAGCGTTAGCATCTGATTTAATCATTTTTGGTTCTTCGTGATAATTGATGACTATTGACTGCCACATCAGCTTGCTAATTCTGCGTCTTTTCTTATCTAGGATAGTTACGTTACTGATTATTTTAGTTATAGTATATTCAGCAACTTTGAACTGGTTGACTAAAATATAAATCTTTTTTCTTCTTCTTCTTGACTTTACCCCACGTTATGTGAGGTCAACGCAGCGTGTTCTGACTAATATATATAATTCATTGTAAATTTCATCCTGTGTCTTCCCGAACTGAAAATTAAATTAAATGTCGTAAAATATTAAGCTGTAAATTGAAATTGCGAATGTTTTATATGCGATAAATAGTAAAGATAATTTACCCGTTCATGTTGACGCTAGCTAGATACGATAAAACGAATCGAAGATAAATTTTAGATATCACAAGCACCTACCAATACGATGTAACAGTAATAAGTAATTGTTCATTCGGTGGAAAACGTCGGTGACCATGTCTGTTCGAGCGTTACCTCCGGAGTTAGCAGAAAAAGCCCGCAAAGAGTTAAATGAAGATCCAAGCAGGATTAATAGTGACATTCAACACCTAAAGGACTGGTTGTCCAAACAGCCACATTTACGCGCTAGGACAGGTGTGTTGCGACATTAGTTATTTTTGTGCATTTTATTTTAAATGACTGGGAAAAACAAACATTGTCACAGTAGAAAGAACCACAATATTTCACAAATGCGAAGATCGAACTATAATAATACCTATAATTTCGACAGGGAGATAAAACCTAATTTAGTTTTTTTGTCGAATCATGACCTTATAATCTAATATATTCCTGAAATTATTTTAATAGTTTAATGTAATTTCAAAGTATAGCACCAATATAGTTTAAATTCGTTATAATAATAGGCATAAATTGATCGCAAGTTATTTTATTTGTTATCATGTCCTTGTTTGCTTCACGACTAGAGTTTTAAAGATAATGTCAATGGCAAGATAATTCTTCGATGTAACTTTGTTATACATTAATGACAGAGTTATGAAAAAATGCAATTGTATTTTTTATTTCAGACGTTCAATGGCTTTTAGCATTTCTACGAGGATGCAAGTACAGCTTGGAAAGGACGAAGGAAAAATTGGATTTATATTATTCCGTCCGTACAACTGCACCTGAATTATTCAGTATAAAGCCGAGCAATCCATTGTTTGATGAAATATTAAGTTTGGGGTAACTGTTCTGATTTAATGTTAATTTTATTAGCGTCCACGTGAATTTAAAATTTTTTATAAGTTATAATTACGTAATTTGAAGCAGTTTTCTATAAAACACGTACATAGTAACATATTATGTACCCCAAGGTGTTTCCATACTCTATATCTTTCTCCTATGCAATATTTTAGTTGTATTGTGATTGAATTTTTTGCAAGTACCCAAAACTTTTTATTGTTATTCTAAGATGCATGGACGAGCTCACAGCATACCTGGTGTTACCGGAGTGGAGTGGTCACCGAAGTCCATGGACTGAACTATGTTAATGCTACCTTGATTTTCAAGTCTCAGTTTTTATAGTATAACAGCGCCCACCCTTCAAAACGTAAGGCATAACTGCTTCACGGCAGAAATAGACAGGGCGGTTGTACTTACCCGTTTGGGCTCACAAGATGCCCTACCACCAGTAATTACGCAAATTATAAGTTTTCCGGGTTTGATTTTTATTACATGATTATTCTTTCATGGTGGAAGTCAATCTTGAACATTTGTTAAGTACGTATTTCATTAGAAAAAATGGTAGCTGTCTGGAGGATTCGAACACCGGCACGGTCGCATCGCCCGACACAAATGCACTGAGCGTCTTATTCTTTTAGGCCACGATGATTTCGCTGAGCTAAATAATAACATCTTTCTTAATTAAATATTTCGTAATATATGTGTTATACATATTTATTAACAGGGCAATATTGATATTACCTAAGACTGCAACTTCTGATTCACCACGTGTCAGTCTGATCATACCTGGTCGATATGATGCTGATAAGTACAACATTACCGATGTCATGGCTGTATCCTTTGTCTTACAAAAGGTAAGTTTTACGAATAGCGTATAATATCATTTAAAATACAGTAATTTTACTATAGTTACGTAAAAACTGACCAAGTCAATTTTTTCAGATTATTATGATGGAAGACGACAACGCAATAGTGGCCGGCATTTTGTCAATTTTAGATTTAGATACTGTAAAAATGGGTCATTTCTTACAAATGACTCCAATGGTCATGAAAAAAATGGTGGTTGCTTCTCAGGTATTAATTAGATAAATGTATTTTACCTACCTTATTTACTTAAATTAACAACTGTGGCTTCGTCGTTGAAAAAATGAGACATGCTAGCTTAAATTAGACCAGAATTGGGTTAAGGTATACTAATTGTTAAATATGTATGTTGTGGTTTTAGGGCTATTTGTCCAAATTGTCTTTAATCAATTACTTATTTTTAAATATTTCCCAGTTTTTCGATTCTCTCTTTATTACTGTACCAGTATAGTCGCTTCCCCCAAATTTCTCTAACGCGCTTTTTAGAAGAGGATTAACGATCGGTCATAATGATAATAAAAAACGCGAGATATAAACGCAAAAAATATTTACGTAATCCTTACTAAATTTTATAACCTGCTGAGTGTGCATTGTTGGTACCGGTAGAGAGAACAATTTTTTCAGTTCGCATTCAGTTTACCTACTTAATTATTTTCAAGGAATTCCTTTTAGTTGGGTTTTAAATGAAAATTTTCAGGACGCATTACCAGTTCGACTCAAAGGTACCCATTATTTAAATACACCGACAGGATTCGAAACTGTTTTCAATGCTATAAAAGCATTACTGAACGAAAAAAATAAGAAACGCGTGAGTATAGCATCATATTCTCAATTTAATATGAAAGACGAAAACGTGTATTAAGCTTATAAAAATATCTTTCCTACATTTTATCTCTAGCTCTACGTCCACAACCAGAATTATGAAGAGATGTACAAATATATCCCTAAGGACATTTTACCAGTAGAATATGGAGGGAGCGGTGGTTCTATTGAAGAAATTATAGGTAAATGAACTATTTACAGAACAGTACAGTAGTTGAATATGTCTTGAGTATGGGCTGGTTCCATTCTGTTTATATTTGCTATGAAACGATTCTGACGTTCGTAGAATAGTCTTAGTTCCAATGCTGATTCGCGCCAATATATAGATTTGACAAAACTAAGTCCAGATGTATCAGGCTGTTCCTTGGACTCCCGAGAGTCAATAGCGAAGGTCACTATTTACCATCAGGTGGGCCGTATACTCGTCTCTATATAAAGTCTATTGAGAAACATAAAAATAAATTGACGGCGTTATTTAAGTTAAGGTGTCCATGGACTCTTTTAACAGATTAAACGTAGGTGGGCCATGGGCTCATCTACCAATATGCACTGAAAAGGTAACAGAAGAAAACGAACAACTGTTGATATTGTTTTTGATTCCAAAAACATTTATCGTGCAATAGTTTTATATTTCAATGTTAATAACATAACTTTTTTATAGGATACGTAAATTGTATTTTTATAAAAAAGTTACAGAGTTTAGATTTTAATATTTACACAAATCTTTTTTGTCTTTTAGTATTTTATATCTCCTTTTACCATATTTATTCTTCTGAAACTTAGTATTGAGTTCCTACCACATAACCGTGTTATTAATTAAGTAATAGTAAAGTTCTTACTGGTGGTAGGGCGCCTTTCAAGCCACAAGGTAGGTACCACCACCCTGCCTATTTCTGCCGTGAAGTAGTAATGCATTTTGGTTTGAAAAGTGGGAAGTCGTTGTACTGTAAAACAGAGACTTAGGTCACATGTTTCAAGGTGGGTTGACTCTTAACATCACTTGGGCGGTGGGTAAATAAAAAAGTCAGCTTGAAATAGAATCATAAGAGATACGATCGGCTCGTTGGTCAAGCGGTTAGTGATTCTGATCAGTGTACTCCGGGGTGTGGTTTAGATTCAATGCGGAGACAGTGTTTGTTAAAAACTATTCGGTATCCAAAGTATGGATGTACTTATTTTTATCTCGTTTGCGCTTCGGATATACATCGCACAGAATAAAATCTTTATTGAAGTATTTAACTAGGATTAATATTACGGCGCGTTTATTAATTAAGGTCTAAATATTATTATGCTACATTAATTTCAGTGGAGAACGTCTTTTATGTGACATTAACTTAATTTATTATTATTGTGAATCATCTCTATCGGTTTTCACGATTTAAATGAATTCGTTTTTCGTATTCAGATTACTGGAGGAAAAAAGTAAAGGAATACAGTGACTGGTTGGAAGAAGATGATCAATATGGTACGGACGAGTCCAAGCGACCAGGGAAACCGAAGACCGCTGAGGATATGTTCGGCGTTGAGGGTTCCTTCAGGCAACTTGAATTCGATTAAATTTAATATTCGATAAAATTTTGTAATTATTATTTCTCCTGTAGGAAAATAAAGATTTTTTATTCTTTGTTTATATTTTTTTTTTTAAACAATAATAATAACTAGTGGTCCCGCAGTAGTCGAAATAAACACAGTCGGTAGTCTGGCGCTCCGTTTACAACGGGATTTTTGAACGGAACTTGGCGCCAGATTCTACCGAATCTGTGGATTCGACTACAATTAATTGAAATTTTCTTTATAAACATTATTATGGTTCTATTGTCAAACACTATTAGAATTTTTTAATATAATCACAGATTTCGCCAAAAATACACTATGTTCGTAGATAAATAATATTAAAGACAAACAATATTAATTTTTCTCCTATCTACGGCGAAAGTTCGGTTTTCGTTCTGCTGTACAGGGAAGAAAGTGTAACTTTTTCTCCCTGGGTACAAGTGCGCATGCGCGTTATAGTCTACGTCTGCTCTCACGCACCTAAAATTCTTCGCCATTGCTGTGCTCGGGTAATTTGCAATATTGTGTTTAGTGTAAAAGTGAAATAAACAAAATGCAATAATATTTAATAGTGAAGTATTAAACAAAGATGAGTTCACCAGACAGTTCTTATTCAATTAGTAGTAGTTTGTTTAAAAATTAAAAAACAGTTAAATTGGTTTTTTTATGAGTACATGGGGGGGGGGGGCTTCGCCCTGGACCCCATCGGGGCTTCGCCCTGGACCCCAGCTCGGTACTCCACGAACTTTCGGCCTTCTTTATTGATTTATTGTTGTTTTATGGATATTTAAAAAAATATTAACATTCTGCACTCCTCTACATTCTCTATAAGTGTGGGAAATTTCATACTCCTCCGTCCGCGCAATTTTCGTAAAAAGGGGTACAAAGTTTTTGCTTCACGTATTAATATATAGATAAGCCCATTTTATTTCGAAAAAAAAAAAAGAAAAACACCTTATCAAATAAAAATTACAAATAGGTATAAAACTTACGTTATTGGATCCCCACTTCGGGTATAGGCCTCCTCCAACTTACTCCACTCTTCCCTATTTTTGGCTTTGTTTCCCCATTCTTTTTCTGTTGTTGCTATTATTCGGCCTCTTCTTTTTTTGCCCATTTGTCCTTCCCATGTTTCTAATGTCCATTTTCTGTACTGTATGTCTCGCGGGAGCTCATAGACATCAAGGTACGGTCCCCCAACCTCATGTCAGAATAAAGTCGGAATCTTAACCATATTTACCCTTTGAAACCGAACTCATTACTGTTTTGCGGCAGAAGAAAAAAAAAAGATAGCCACCTATTATGTTACCCAATTTGCCCTACCACTACTACGAGTACTATCCCCAATAGGTAATGTTCATGACAAAATTGTAACCTTTAAGTCAAGTCTGATAGTAATAGCCAAAACGAGAGCCTTGAATTTATTTTATTCAATGTCAATGAATAATGTGTGATGAATAAGTTGTGAATTAAGTAACAAATGTGTTACTTACAGTAACTACTGTAACTATACTAAGACCTTAGAACTCATATCTCAAGGTGGATGGCGGCACTTACGTTGTAGGTGTCTATGGGCTCCAGTAATCACTTAACACCAGGCAGCGGCTTGGCTCTGCTCCTGGCATTGCTGAAGTCCATGGGCGACGGTGATCACTTACCATCAGGTGGGTCGTACGCTCGTCTACCTACAAAGGCAATAAAAAAAAAAACCAGCTGGTCTGAGAGCTCTTCCTCGAGCAATAAAAAAAATACTTTTTGGTAAAAATTAAACGAACCCTCTTTTGTAATTTCTTTTTCGGGTGAACGAGCTCGCGGTCCACTCAGTGTTAAGTGTTGACTGTAGCCAAAAGATGTCAATCACTAAGTGAATACCGCCACCCGCCTTGAGATATGAAGCCTAAGTCTCAATTGCGTAGTATATTTTAGGCTAACCTTCAAACTGTTTGCTAAATGGACGAAATCTTGACCATGGATACGAACTTAATGTCACCTGAGAAAAATATTGAAGAGAGAAAAATGAACGTTATAATTATTATACACACAGGTCAACGACATAGCTTTGAGTATTTAAGTTTATTGCAAGGTTCTTTCACACCTGTTTCTAGTCGCTTCATATTGTCACATTATTTGTACACATTAAACTAGATTATCTTTAAGCTCAGTTATAAACCATGTTCTTTGTTTAAATACAAAAATTATAATTAGAACTATAAATGTATATCTTATGTGCATGTTATCTGTGTTGAATTTTGTTCCATTCAGAGATATTTTGTGACGACGCTCACAATTTTAGACGCGCTAAGTATCTCTCTGTGATTTCGTTTCAAGAGTCCTTGACGGTTGGTAGAAGCTGGCTGTGCTCGTGGAATTGCTGATATCACCATCACGTGGGCCATATCCTCCTCTGCCTTTGAAGGCAGTAAACATGTTAAGTCGTCGTGGCCTAAAGGATAAGACGTCCGGTGCATTCGTATCTAGCGATGCACCGGTGTTCGAATCCCGCAGGCGGGCACAAATTTTTCTAATGAAATACGTACTTAACAAATGTTCTCACGATTGACTACCACGGTGAAGGAATAACATCGTATAATAAAAATCAAACCCGAAAAATTATAATTTGCGTAATTACTGGTGGTAGGACCTCTTGTGAGTCCGCACGGGTAGGTACCACCGCCCCGCCTATTTCTGTCGTGAAGCAGTAATGCGTTTTGGTTTGAAGGGTGTGGCAGCCGTTGTAACTATACTGAGACCTTAGAACTTATATCTCAAGGTGTGTGGCGCATTTACGTTGTAGATGTCTATTGGGCTCTAGTAACCACTTAACACCAGGTGGGCTGTGAGCTTGTCCACAGATCTAAACAATAAATAAATAAAAGTGCGATTTTCCTTAACTCATATCCTTATAAATTGTTCGAATTTGAAAACAAAGGATACTAGTATATACTATCTAATGTAGTTATTATTACATTATCGGATAAAGTTCTGGTATTGGTTTGGAAACGACGTTGTTATGATAAGCAACGTCTGTGCATTTTATTAGTCAGCCGGCACAGTGGGGACTGAAAGCAGGTGTGTTCTGAAAACTTTTATCTATTCAATTTCAATAAGAACCTCCTTTTTGTGCATTCATTGTAATTGAGGTCGACGAAGCAACCGCAGCGCTGTCCGTTTTCATTTTACTTGTTTTGCTTTTGCACGCGGACGTGTTTTATGTTGTTGAACGCCAAACTTTTACATTTCAGTTAAATACACTAAAATGATACGTGAGCTTCCAGAGGAATTGGCTAAAATAGCTAAAGACGAGTTGAACGAGAATCCAGAACGTGTAAGTGAAGATTTAAAGTATGTCAAAGACTGGATTGAACAACAACCGCATTTGAGGGCTAGAAAAGGTAAGTTTTGCTTTAAGCGGATCACTTGGCCTGTATGTTTGTTTGGAATATAATAGTTCAGTAATTGTGTTCACCTGGTGTTCAGTTTGTATGCATATAATGTTTTTTTTTATACGCGAAATTCGCCGGCTTCTAAATGATCTTTATGTTCTGCGATATTGCAGACTATGACAATGTCATTATGTGTATTATCACTTCATTATATCATTATCACATATTATAATCCTTGCGTTTTTTTCTTTTCTTTATAATTTCAAGATTGAAACATACAATGTATTTTTAATTATCATTGATGAAGAAATCGAATGGGCTCTGTTCTCAATAATTCTAACGTTGCGTAATGAATTTTATCTATTAAGTAAGCTACGTATTTGAATATTTTCTAATAAGTGAAGATAGATATCAACTTTAAAATTATCAAGCTGTTGAAATACATTAAGTACAAGCTCATTATCCGCTCGGCAATCGATCTACGGCCAAGGTCATCTTGATGAGGGTCGCCGCCCGACGTCGCCTTTTCCATTTTTTGTAAAAAAAATTTTTTATTGCTTAGATGGGTGGACGAACTCACAGCCCACCTGATGTTAAGTGGTTACTGGAGCCCATAGACATCTACAACGTAAATGCGCCATCCACCTTGAGATATAAGTTGTAAGGTCTCAGTATAGTTACAACGGCTACCCCACCCTTCGAACCGAAACGCATTACTGCTTTACGGCAGAAATAGGCAGGGCGGTGGTACCTACCCGCGCGGACTCACAACAGGTCCTTCCACCATACGACTGACATATCCTTTAACGCTTGTCATTGGTGATCGTTCCAGCGAAATGTCCACCGCCAGCCGGGCTACTCTTAATCTTCCGAATGAGTTCAAAGTTCGGTTCACAGGTCCGCCTTTTTGATAGCACGAGCGCCACTAACTCACAAATATATAGAGAGCGTCTAATTCGTTCCGGAAGCTGAAATTAAAAACTAATTTAAACAATTTGATAAATTCAAAATTCAACCTCGCAAAATTATAATTTGCGTAATCACTGGTGGTAGGACCTCTTGGGAGTCCGCACGGGTAGGTACCACCACCCCCGCCTATTTCCGCCGTGAAGCAGTAATGTGTTTCGGTTCGAAGGGTGGGGTAGCCGTTATAACTATACTGGGATCTTAGAACTTATATCTCGAGGTGGGTGGCGCATTTCCGTTGTAGATGTCTATGGGCTCCAGTAACCATTTAATACCAGGTGGGCTGTGGGCTCGTCCATCCATCTAAGCAATAAAAAAAAAAGAAAAATTTTTTTTGAGGAAAATGTATTTGCACTTTGAGTTGGTTAACAATTTGTGAATCTATTTAAAGCGAAAACGATAATCGTGTACTCTATTTTTTCTTGATGTCCATGGACTCACGATCTTCCGGTCCACTCAGTATGAGATGCTCATCGGCGTCCGTGAGCGTCGGTCATGCAATGCCCTTATTACTAACCTTTGTACCTATATGGGGTCGATGTCTCAGCTGTATCGTGCAATGTGTCAACTACAAACTGAAAAGCATGCAGTCATGGTTTTCTATTTGCATTATATTGCCTGCGGTGCCAAAAACGAGTAAACATTAGTGAAAAAAACCAAAAAAGTTACCTATTCAGTGAGCCATTCAAGGAAAATAAATAAATAATAAAAATTCATATCATAAATAATTCTAAAATTGTTACTATTTATTGGTGATATGTGTTCAGCTTTACAGTAATTAGAACTCGTACGACATTGTTATCGCCAAACACGTACATATTATTACACTAGCAATATTGATGTATTATGTTTGAACATGAATAATAATAAGTCTAAAGTATATTTCGTACAATAGTAATAAACCAAAAACCATTTTGCAAATCATTATGTGCGTTTTTTTATTGAAGAAAATTTCTTGCACATTTACGGATGTCAACACTACGCTGTGCTGTGCTTGTAGATTCGTCCGGTGTTTTAATATAATTAATAGGTTGGGGAAAAAATCTTTTCGCAATATAGTATATATGAACTTGTAATAAAATCTCTTTGGCTATACTATTTGTATCTGGCTGATTTTGGTATCATCAAAAGTTTAAAGTTTAAAGAAAATAATTCCAAATTCAAATTAGGAGAATGTGTGATTTTTATTTATTTTTCGTACTGTCAAGATGAGTGAATCAAATGAAGAAATTCGATACATTTAAAAATTTCGCTACAAAAAAGGTAAAAATACAACGCAAGCCGCGAAAAAAATTTGCTAAGTTTATGGACCTAGTGCAGTGTCTGTGAGAGTAGCGAAATTTGGTTTAAGCGTTTTCAATCGGGAAATTTTGATGTCAAAGATGCACGTCGTTTGGTCGCCCTATTACGGATAGAATGGATACCATTTTTGAAAAAGTGGAGCAAGATCGGCATATCACTACTTACGACGTAGCTGAAGAACTGGGAATTGACCAAAAACAGATTTGGCGCATTTGAAAAAAACTAGGTACACAAAAAAGCTCGATATTTTGGGAGCCTCACGAGCTCACTGAAAGAAATCTAATGAACCGTGTTCTCATTTGTGATTCTTTATTACGACGTACGACGACTGGTGATGAAAAGTGAATCACGTACGACAAGAACGTGCGAAGGTCGTGGTCAAAGGCCGGTCAGGCTTCACAGACTGTGGCGAAACCTGGGTTAACTCGCATCGATTCTGAACTCTACTGCGAACAACTGATGAGATTAAAGCAAGAAGTTGAGAGAAAGCGGCCGGAATTAATCAACAGAAGGGGTGTGGTTTTTCATTATGATAACGCTAGACCTCACACATTTTTAGCCACTCAGCAAAAATTAAGAGAGCTTGGCTGGGAGGTGTTAATGCATACGCCGTATAGTCCTGACGTTGCAGATCTTAGGATTTCCATCAGTTTCGTTCTCTTCAGAATTCTTTAGGGAGTGTCAGGTTAACATCACGAGAGGACTGCCAGCACCAATTGTCGCGGTATTTTGATCAGAAGCCCCAAAATTTCTATAGCAATAGGATCATGTCCCTAGCTACAAGATGGCAAAAAGTTATCGAACAAAATGGTACCTACATACTTTAGTTAAATGTAAATAAACTATATTAAAAAATGTTGTGAATTTTCTTATAAAATGCGAAGAAACTTTTTCCCCAACTATTATACTAGAACTTTTTGACTGTCTATTTATTATGACTTACTTCTACATTAAAATTTAATTGTATTAAATATCTTACCCTAATTAAGAACTCTAAGCAATTTCATGATAATTAACAGAGATAATAATGATAATATTCACATCATTGTAACATGGGTAGGTACAAAGAACGAATTAATTATGTATATCCATCTATTATTACACTGTGAGTGTTTCCTATCTTCTAATTACGTTTATCTTTTATAATCTTGGTGCCTATGTAATTCAGATAATGCTATTATTTATCTGTAGTAGCTCAAAGAATAGTATAATATTTATTCTTCATGTTGAGTGCTTATACTTATTAATTCATCAATTGTCTCCAACTATGTCAACAAGAATGATAGCTTAAACAGATTTCAATTGGTACTTAATCTACATTAAGCTAAAATAATGTTGTAATATTTGTAAAATACAAAATCTTTTTCTGAGTGTTTAGCTATGATTTTTTTTATTTTATTTTAGAAATAAATAGAACAAAAAATAGTTCATTGTGTACCAAGGGACAAAAGTTGGACATTTTCACACGTGGTGGATGAGATGACTCATAAAAAAAAACAATTTAACTGTTTTTTAATTTTTAAATAAACTACTACTAACTGAATAAGAACTGTCTGATGAACTCATCTTTGTTTAATACTTCACTATTAAATTTTATTGCCTTTTGTTTATTTCACTTTTACGCTAAACACAATATTGCAAATTACCCGAGCACAACGTGAGAGCAGACGTACACATTAACGCGCATGCGCACTTGTCAGTACCCAGGGAGTAAAAGTTAGACTTTCTTCCCTGTACAGCGGGACGAAAGCCGAACTTTCGGCGTAGGTAGGAAAAAAAAAATGTTATGCTTAAATTAAACTGCTCAGCAACGCGACTTCTTTCTTCGATTTGCAGCCACAGGATTTTTATGCAAATTGTTTAATGTGTGTTAATGACATGTGTTTAGAAAGATCAAGGTCTTTATTAGGATATTCGAGGTGATGTGGTTTCGTAATGCTGTTAGATGGTCACGGCTTTTTTCGGAAGATGCCGTTTCGTAAATCAAAGAATGATTTTTTATTTTTTTTTATTGCTTATATGGGTTGACGAGTTCACAGTCCACCTGGTGTTAAGTGGTTACTGGAGCCCATAGACATCTATAACGTAAATGCGCCACCCACCTTGAGATAAAAGTTCTAAGGTCTCTCAAGTATAGTTACAACGGCTGGTCATCCTTCAAACTGAAACGTATTACTGCTTCACGGCAAAAATAGGCAGGGTGGTGGTACCTACCCGTGCGGACTCACAAGAGGTCCTACCACCAGTTAGTAATGAAACAGCGTTTGTAAAAAAATTATATTTGCATAAAATTTTTGGGACACTAAGAATATAATGCGTACTATTGGATTTTTAGTGTCCGTATTCATTTGTCTTTGTAACCAAAGGACGAAAGTATTCTTAGAACATCATATTGTGAGGTTTCAGAGTTTTTTTTTATGATTGAAAGATTACTGGTGGCCCGAAGGCCTTTCCAGTTTCACCATGACAGGTGGGCGGGCAAATGCTCAGCCAGGAGGGGTGGGATTTGCTAACAACTGCCCGAGCGCCTCCGAAGGAGACCTAACAACTCAAGAGCAATTGCTTCGCGAATGAATCTACTACCGGATCGGAATCGCGGTTTCAGAGTACCACGAGACGCTACCCTAATTATAATTATCTTTATTTCAGATGACCAATGGCTTGTGGCAATACTCAGAGGATGCAAATATAATTTTGAGAAAGTGAAAAAGAAATTGGATTTGTATTACACGTTGAGGACAACAGCCCCAGACGTAACGTTAAGACACAGACCTTTGGGACCGGATTTCTTAAATTTCTTTCGACTGGGGTAAGGTGAAGTCTTAATTATAATTATTTTATTTATGTAACGTACTAAAATTGGTGTTACAATTTAGATTAATAAAGTTAACAAGTTTAATTTAATGTAAGCTACTATTTTAATTTCTAATTCTAATCCTAAAGTCTATTGATTTTACTTAGAGTATATTAAGGTTAAACGCTTTGTTCACGTGTTCTTCAGTTACGTCACTATCATTGTAACACTATTTCGAATATGATTAACACTTAATTAACTCAAAAGGCCTAGTCCTCTTCAGTATTCTCACTAAGTCTGTGTTGTCGAGGAGTTGGATAGCCTCCACATTCACATGATGGTGAAGACTTAGTTCATGGCCTTCTTAGTGAAAAATGACATATGTTAAGTTGTCTTGATGAAAAATTAATTATTAAACTAGATCTTCCCGGGCGTTTCTAAATCTTTATGCCTTTACCACTGCTTCAAAGTGTAATTTTCGCTTAATTTCCCATTTAAACACACTGTATAATGAATGAGTTTTAATCGATTTTTATTTGAATAGAAAGCTAGGGAAACGAGGCGTCGTAGCGCATAGATCAGGGGTTCCCAAACTTATTTTGTCTACTGCCCACTTTGAGAATAAATTATTTTTTAGCGTCCCCATTTTTTCACATACTTAAAAACCACTATAGCGAGAGCTCAGCCGGTGTGTAAGAGTCCTCCTAGATGAAATTACGAATCATCTCCCAAAGCTTCTACACAACGCTCCCATTTTTTTCTGGGTCTGTTACTGCCCCCTTTTAGGCCTGTAGCGCCCACAAGGGGGCATTATCGCCCACTTTGGGAAAGGCTGGCATAGATATTACATATAACGCAAACGCGGTAAGCGGCCTTATTCATCACTGAAGTCTTATTTGAATTGGTACTGTGGTCCTTCTATCTTTCAAAGACGAGCTCATATTTGCTTCGCGACAGAAATATTATACTCGTAAGAAGGGTGGTGGTACCCACCGTTCCAATAACACTTTGAGTACTGATAGTACTGAGAACTGATAGTACTTTGTGATCAATTACGATGCTGTTCATTTAATATTTCAGCACCTGTCTGTTACTACCCAAGCCAAAGGACCAGATATATCCACGAGTCATTCTTATCAGAGCGGGAGTCTATAATCCTGAGACGAATAATGTGATCGATATAATGTGTATATTATATTATGTAGTTCAGGTATGTTATTACATTAAAATAATGATTTCTTTTTTCCCTTGTCCTACTATATGGGGTCCGTGTAGAATGTCCTTTTTTCCATTCAGGCCTATCATACGTAATTTCCGCAATGATACCCTTCTCTCGCATATCACACAAATTCCATCCAAGTCTTTTTAGGACTTGACCAATGATTTCAGATAGCAATAATAGAAGATGATGTAGCATCCGTACTTGGAACAAAAATCATGGTTGATTATAAAGGTGTGACCCTGAGTCATTTTGTACAGGCCACTCCAAGTGTTCTGAAGAAAATTGTTGCAGTGTGTCAGGTAATTACCACCATTTTATCAATTTGTGCCATTAATGATGTAAAAATAAAGGATTCTTCTATAGACTTGATATAGGATACTCTTTATAATGAATATTCTGACTGTAAGGGAACTGGTGAACTAATGTAAAGTGATTTGTTGAAGAATATAGTTACAAAAAGCCAATCGTAAAACTACATTTTTATCTTTATTTTTATACAACATGCAATGTTATACAAAATCAATGTTTTTTGATCTCGCCCTCCTTAAATTACACATATTCAAGTATAATTTGGCACAGTTTCCACTAAAGTCGAAACGTTTTGTATTCAATTAGGCCTTTTTTGAAGTCTTGTCTAAAGGATTAGACGCCCGATGTACTGATATCGCGCGATGTGACAATGCCGATATTCAAATCCCGTAGGTATTCTTTAAATACGTACTTAACATGTGTTCACCACGGTAAAATGTGATAAAAGCCAAGTCCGCAAAAAAAAATTGCGTAATTAATGGTAGAGTGTATTATATTTATAATAACAACTCGCTAACAAGTCGTCGTGGCCTAAAGGATAAGACGTCCGGTGCATTCGTTGTTGCGATGCACCGGTGTTCGAATCCCGCAGGCGGGTACCAATTTTTCGTATGAAATACGTACTTAACAAATGTTCACGATTGACTTCCACGGTGAAGGAATAACATCGTGTAATAAAAATCAAACCCGCAAAATTATAATTTGCGTAATCACTGGTGGTAGGACCTATTGTGAGTCCGCACGGGTAGGTACCACCGCCCTGCCTATTTCTGCCGTGAAGCAGTAATGCGTTTCGGTTTGAAGGGTGGGGTAGCCGTTGTAACTATACTGAGACCTTAGAACTTATATCTCAAGGTGGGTGGCGCATTTACGTTGTAGTTGTCTATGGGCTCCAGTAACCACTTAACACCAGGTGGGCTGTGAGCTCGTTCACCCATCTAAGCAATAAAAAAAAAATAAAAAAATAAATAAATTAGGTATTGAAATTGTTACGTTATAACAATTATTCGAAATCCGGTTCACCACTAAGAAGAATCGGCCAGAAACTAAGAGTTTGTTATTTTAAACTTATGTTAATGTAAGGTTTAATTACTGGTGGTAGGACCTCTTGTGAGACCGCGCGGGTGGGTACCACCACCCTGCCTATTTCTGCCGTGAAGCAGTAATGCGTTTCGGTTTGAATAGTGGGGCAGCCGTTGTAACTTACTTGAGACCTTAGAACTTATATCTCAAGGTGGGTGGCGCATTTACGTTGTGGATGTCTATGGGCTCCAGTAACCACTTAACACCAGGTGGGCTGTGAGCTCGTCCAACCATCTAAGCAATAAAAAAAAAAAAGGTATTATATTATTCTGGAATTCAAGAACGTATGGCTCACAACCATTGACTTGTTTAAACATTGCTATTAATTAATCAGATGCCTCTGTCTACTCTTTTTCCGAAATTAGAACCATGTTGATTGTAAAGAACTTGGAAATTCATATCTCATATTTTAATACTCTTGTGAAGTCCTAAGCATTCAATGTTAATATTTTAATTTATTATAAAAAAAGAACACAATATTCCTAACCTAAAAGTACATTAGTTACATTAAAAGCATTCAATTGTATTGCAGGAGTCTATGCCTCTGCGATTGAAAGGTAGTCATCACGTGAATATACCAACAGGCGTAGATAAAATCTTCTCACTAATATCGGTGTTCTTGAACGAGAAAGCTAAGAAAAGGGTAGGTATCATACATTTTAGTAATAGTATAATAGGTAAATGTGTTGATCGTACTAAAAACACTTCATTTGGCGTAGTAGTCAAATTGTTCAGAGCTCATGTGCTGCTGACCAGTTAAACTACCACATTAATAGTATTTTTTTCAACTTCAAATCAATTTAAATTTTCAGTTGAGGATCTACAAAGGCTGTCAAGATTTGATCAATGATCTGCCTAAAGATATAGTTCCAACAGAATATGGCGGTGACGGTGGTAGTATTGCGGAACTCATAGGTATGTTTATTGTTCTTTTGGCCAGACCTATTGGCCAGACTCGGACCAGCTTTAATAATATGATTGACAACTAAAAAGTTTGTTGCCAAAATCCCAAAATAAAATTGGAACTAATGATTTTATAAAATAGTCGTGGTTTAAAAGATAAAACGCCCTTTTACTTGTGTGTGATGTGACTATAGCGGGATCAAAATTTTGCAAGCCATAGTTGTTCAGATTTTTTGTAAAATACGAATCTACCATACGTTAATAAATATCACCGCCGTAAATTTTTTAAATTCCATGAGTACTAGTGAGTTAACACAAATAGGTTGCATTATCCTGCCTTTTCCCCCCAAAAAGCAATCAACCTTCCAAATTTAAATTGTAGAATAGTTATTGTACTCTATATTATACGAAACAACCTCATGTTTCGTGAAGCGGTAATTAATATATGACATATCGAGCGGTGAAAGGCTATTGCGGTTTTGGTTTAAGCGACATTTCGCTTAATACGCTACATTTATCTTTGTAATTAAAGATCCGTTTTAATTGGTATCGTATTAGTTCAACAATTCGATGTTGTTAATTGAATTTCAATTCAGTTTACCCCATTTAGATAGCTTTAGAAGTTTTGATAATAGTACCGATAATGATAATGATTTCCAAATTTTAAACTTTAAATGGCTCTTCTAAAAAGTTTCAAAAATGTCGCTTATATTGCATTCCACCCTTCATTAGATATATGGGCTGCGGCAACTTCTCAGAGCCACTGTACTCATTTACCGACTTGAGCAATAAGTAAAATTTGGGACTTTTTCAAATTTTCATTAATACATAGGCGGCACTGAAAATTTCGGGAATTAACGAAGTGACACAACATTACTATTTAAAAATGTATTTATTGCTTTTCGAAGTATTCTCCGCGAAATTTGACACATTTTTCCATACGATGGAACCAATCATTGAAGCAACCATTCCATTCGGAAGTTGGGGTCTCCAAAATGGCCGTTTTGTAGGCGTCCACAGCTTCTTCAGGTGATGAAAATCTCTGTCCACGCAATTTATTCTTTATTTTAGGGAAAGTATAGAAATCATTAGGGCTTAGGTCGGGGCTGTACGGCGGATGGTCTAATAATTCTATGTTTTCTTGCTCTAAAAACTCTTTTGTTCTGTGCGCGGTGTGAGAACTCGCATTGTCGTGATGGAGGATGATGCGGCGGTTGCAGTTCTCTTTACGGAGTTCAGAAACGACCTGTGGCAAACAAATGCTAGCATACCATTCTGCATTAACCGTTCTTTGTCCCTCAAGAGGAATAGTCGTAACATGGCCGGTTTTGGAGACAAACGTGGCCACCATTTTTTTTGCAACACTCCGTGAACGAACAATTTTTGTTGGCTTTAACTCATTTTCGAACACCCAAACTCGTGACTGGTTTTTTGTTTCGGGTTCGTACGCGTATATCCAGGATTCGTCACCTGATACAATGTTGTATACAGCATTTGAGGATCCTGCGTGGAATCTTTCGAGAGTTCTGACGCACCAAGTAACGCGAGCCGCTTTTTGCTCTTCACAGAGCGAATGCGGTATCCATCGGGAAAACAACTTTTTTACACCTAATTGTTCATGCAAGATTATTTGTATTTGACTCATGCCAATGTCTAAAGTTGCCTGAATTTCGCGGTATGTCACATGTCGATCTTCCTCAATCAGCTTACGCACAGCATCAACGTTTTCTTGGGTGACTGCAGTTTTTGGACGACCTTGACGGGGATCATCACTGAGCTTGACACGTCCACGTTGAAACTCAGCAAACCAGCGATAAATTGTGGTTTTGGATGGGGCTTCATCACCAAATGCAGAAATCATCCGGTCAACACACTGTTTTTGTGTTAAACCACTTCGAAAGTCATAATAAATCATCGCTCTTGAATTTTCTCGAGTCAATTCCATTTTCTCAACGACTAAACAAGTTTGACAAAACCTCGTGACAAGACCGAGAATCTTTTTTTAAATAAATAAATGGTATTCGATTTTTAAAACCAAGGAGTTTTCAATTAAAAAGATTTTAATATGACAGGAACAGTGGAAATATTCCATTCCCGATACTTTTAGTGCAGCCCTCGTAACAAAAGTATATCTCAATTTTTACATGAAATAATAATAACATTTCAGAGAACAATATATCAAAATTTAACGAGTTTCGAGAGTGGATGAAGCAAGAGGAAACTTTCGGCACAGACGAGTCGAAACGACTTGGTAAAGGCGTCAAATCCAAAGCCCAGAAATCGTTGGATGGCTCCTTTAGAAAACTTGACATAGACTGAATGTTATATATTAAAAATATGTTGAGTTTTTCTTAATTTGAACAAATATAAGCAAACTGTCCGATAACTTTGTACATTCATGCAATAAAGGATTGTTTTTTATTTATTTTGAAAATACACAATTCGAAAACGTAAATTTTTATTCCAAGTATTTTTTTTCTTACCTGTGCTGATAGCCTTGAGAGGCTATTTCAGCGTAACCTTAACTAGTAGGTGAGCTCACGGGGCTCAAACCTGACGACGTTGCTAAGACGAACCCTAGCAAGAGGCGTGCTTCACAGAATCTACCAGCGAATCGGAACCGCGACCACTGAGAAGGTCCGGCGAGAAACTCCGTGGGCAGTGTCTATGGGTTAATTTACTTGCTGAGCCCTTCGTCGGCGGGTTCGGCGAGGACGGTGCTTGAGGTACTTAAAAGTGCCGTTAATGGATCGAGAGGATCGGTAATGACGTGTTTAGGACTTTTAGTCCGTATTTACTTTACAAGAAAGGTAACTTAAGTTTTTATGATTGATACAATATGATTTCTTTTTAAAAGGTATTTTGCGATTAGATTTGTTCTCCTATAATGATCACTATTTACTTTGACGTTTGACATTATATTATTTTATCTCTATAACTTATAATATCTCTAGTTTTGTTTGTTTTATATCTTAACTAGCTGACCCGGCAAACATTGTTTTGCCATATATAAGATTTCTAGGGAATTTTTAGTGTAGAAAAAAAAACTAACTTATTGTAAGTGTGTAAGGATGTGGTAAATGAGTGAAAGAGGTATGTAGTGCTGTGAACGATGAGGGAATATATAATAAAAATAACAAAACCTCATTCAACCACATAATACCTCATTATAACAAAAAAAAAATGTCCAAATAAAAAAAATATGTTAGGGGTGGACAACCACTTAAGGGTATGAAAAATAGATAGTAGCCGATTTTCAGGCTTACTGAATATGCATAAAAAATTTCATGAGAATCGGTCAAGCGGTTTCGGAGGAGTATGGGAACGAACATTGTGACACGAGAATTTTATTTTTATATCTTAATATTCTTTTGGGTTTTACAAACCAGAAGTATGTTGAATCTGATTGGAATTCAATTCAAATTTGTAAGTCTGTGATATTTTATCTATTAATAGATTACATTAGACTTGATATTAGTTTTATTGTTCGATTATGACTATTATCACATTGCTATCAAAAAAATTAAAATGAAAAGATACACTCAGTTACTATGTTATTGATAATGTTACATTCTGTGTTTTATATTGTAAATTTAAAGAGGTGAACTGGTGAATAATAACATAATAAAAACTACAATATTCCATACAACCTCGATTGAATACCTAGTCTAAAAATTATTTTGCATTTTGTAATTTTAAATAATTGTGAGATATTGAATCTAGCAAGTGAAGATCTGAAGACAATTTAAGAATTTTTTATTGCTACATTTCCAGCTGCCGTGGTTATTTAAACTAGCAACACATGCTACCAATAGCTGCGTGAACACCATAATAGTCCATTTAAAGACCTACCGTATCTCTCATTATACGGTATGGTACCACCTATGGGTATATCAAATCAATCAATCAAATCAAAAAAAAATATTCAACATAAATGAAAGTACATACTTGTTGAACGTCAAAAAGAACTAACGCCAATTCACAAAAACTAGTCTCCGTCCTGAGAAGAACTGGCAAGAAACTCAGCGGGCATATTGTCTTTTTTTTTATCTAATTTCATTCTGGTTTTCGCTTCCGTGACTCTAGCAAAGTGTTTTTCTTTTCTTTTTAAGGTCTTTTCTACAGCTGTGATGATACGTGCACTTGCATTTTGTAATCTTTTCTTTCCTGCTCAATCATTACCATTGGGGATAAAGATAATTAAGTTTTTAAGGAGCCTTTGCTTTTATAGTCCATTCAGCACAATGGTCCCGATCGAGATGGTTTTATTACATCTATTAAATTTCCATATAATTGCGGGTATGTTGATTAAAATGTTATCATAAGCGTATAGCTCAGATCAATGCCAAATAAAAATAGTTGCACGAGATTTGTTTCAGTATTTTCAGTAACTCCAAAAAACGGCAACTGCGGAATAAATGTACTTTATAGTTAGTAGAGTCATATTTTTGATAAGAATGGCATACACAAGCATAATTGTACGCAAGCATAGTGGGAGGGCGTCTTGTGAAAATCAAACCTGCAATTTTATAAATTTTATCGAATTATTGGTGCTAGGATACAGCCTAACAGAGAAGTTGTCATGGTCTAAAGCTAAAGGATAAGACGCCCGGTGCAGTCATATTAAGCGATGTAACTAACGGTGTTCGAAACTTGCAGGCAGATAGCAATTTTTGTAATGAAATACGTACATGACAAGTTCACGATTGACTTCCATGATGAAGGAATATCATCGTGTTATAAAAATCAAACCCGCAACATTATAATTTGCGTTATTATTGGTGGTAGGACATCTTGTTAATCCGCACAGGTAGGTACCACCTCCCTGTCTATTTCTGCCGTGAAGCAGTAATGCGTTTCGGTTTGAAGGATGGGGCCGCCTTGTACCGCAAAAACTGAGATCTTTCAACTCATGTCTCGAAGTGGGCGGCGGTATTTACGTTGTAGATGTCTGTGGGCTCCGGTAATCACTTAACACAGTGAGCAGTGGGTAGTGAGCTCGTCCACAATAAATAAAAAAAAACAAGAATAATGTAAATAGAGAAACATTATTTATTATAAATACTCTATGGGGTTTTTATTTGTTTTATATGTACAACAGAGGTGCTACCATTTAAACAAGAACGCATGACTACTTCTCGACGGAAATAGGCAGGATGGTGATAACTACCTGCGCGAACTTAATATAGGCCCTACTAATAATCATGCAAATTTATGAAAAATTGGCAGGTCTGATTTTTGTACAATTATGAAATTTATATCTGCATACTGCACCCTAGATTAAATTATCTGATAAGGGAACTTATCAATTCTTTTTCATTGAAGTGTTCCGTTGCTGCATTTTTAATAAAATCAGATAAATGTTATGCAGGGCTTGATACAGTGTAGCACATGCAACGATCGTTAGTGTTGTTAAAACATTCAATTTAATTGCTTTATTTGTGAAACTGAAGTGTTTTGATGTTCTCCGAAGTGATTTAGCATGTAATCCCTTTAGTTTTTAAACAATGCTAAAAGTAAGTGAGATTTAATGCACTAATGCACAAACACACTAATGCATAAGCTGTTGCAAATCTTAGTGAAAATAAAATTTTGAATCCACTAAATTACAGCAGTCTTTTAAGTACCTAATTTTTAAGCGCCATATGAAACGATAGTGGCGTTTTGTAAATAATGAAAACATATTTGTACCTACACTTAAATTTTTTGGGACGAATACCTTTGACTCAAAGTTAAAATTAGATAAATTTTGATTTCAAAGTTCAAATTAGATAAATGTTGATTTCAAAGTTAAATTGTATAAAAAGTGCAAAATGTGATTTTTTTCTTTCTAAGAATTGTAACGGAAATGGTAAAAGATGGTAACAACCTCGAGAGGCTCATCGTGACCGGTAAAGTGCATGGAAAAAGGTCTTGGGTTCGCAGCCCTATACGTTGGTCTGACCAGATCCGCACCGATCTTGATTCCACATTTCACAACGCCCTCCACACCGCTAGACACAAAAACAGACGGAGAAAGATCGTGCCTGAGAAAGTGATACAGAAGGGTGATCACGACACTCAGCATTGGGGAATACGAAGCAAGGTGGAGATCCTCCTCCAGGAGAATATTATTTAAAAAAAAAAAAAAATTTTACGATTTCATGACACACATTATTTAATAACAGAGATACGGCTCTCCATTGCTATGATCCCTGTCTGTGATTAAAGAACAAAGAATTATAATAAGGCCATGTATTTTTTAGGATTACTTAAATTCCCGTCAAATATTGTCATTGGTTAATCATTTGTCAGTTCCATTTGTTGTTAGCTGGTCACAGGAAATCATGTACACTAGCACGAACAAGCTTAGCCAACAGCAATAATTCTACAAAAGTTAATATGATAATCAATTTCGAAGGTTGGCCAGAACGCCTGTTGAAATTCTGTGTTCAATGTTTCTGAATAAAGCTTTGTTTGAATGGTATTACTATTTAAAGTAAATTTTCTGTATAACACCCATTTTGTAATTGCTTTAGAAGGCAGAGGAGCATACGGTTTACCTGATGATGAGTGATCACCGTCGCTCTTGGATGTTAGGGACATAGTGATGCCACTACCTATCGCTATCTGCCTATGTTATGTTATAAATAAATAGCCACTCTCGTAATATCTTCGACTGTCACTGTAAACTTCATAAAAATTAGCCAGATTAAACTCACTTCCAACGTAGAATATTTTTTTCTAACCTAAATAAATACAATTAGGGCTTTAAGTTCAGTAGCATGCATGTTGCAATATTGTGTTTACAACTCTTCTTTTTCATTTTCTCCACCTTATCCCACTAGGTGGGGTCGGCACAGCTAATTTTTCTCTTCCATTCTCTTCTATCAGCCGTCATCTCAACACTAACTCCTCTCTCTCTCATATCGTCATTTACACGCTCCATCCATGTCTTCTTCGATGGATCTCCCCCTCTACCTTGCACTACCATTTCCACACTTCTCCTGGTCACATGCATCTTCTCTCTATGCATCACATGTCCATAACACGCTTACAAAATAAAATAAAAACACACTAAAGTATTGTACTTGATAGAACATACACAGTGGACATAATAATAATAATGTGTCAATTTCATACATACATACTTTATTACTAAGCCATATAATGTGTATAATAGATAAATAGTACAGAACTATTTTATCATAGTAGTGGACAAGGTCAACTTGATACCAAAACTGGTTCAGTAAATTTTCTTTTAAAACTGTGTGTAGGTTCTGTTCTTTTATCATTCTAGCGTGTCTGGTCCATCACGTAACGGTATTTCGTTGGATATTGTATAGTCAGCTTTTCCGTCAGTCAGTTAAAGTTTTTCGGACACTGCAGTCTATTTTAGATATTACGCTGTGATATTCTCGAGCTATCGCGAAATTGAAATACATATTAAATTGAAAAGCAGTATGATGATATAAGAATCGAGTGTTCCCTTTGGATGTTCTTTTAATAACGAATCAATATTTTTGGAGCCACGTAAGTTTACTCTATGATAAGGACTACTTTTGTAGAAATAGTTGGATGAAATAGTTAAATGGCGACAGGTCTCTGCAACAGCATGCGATCGTAGAATGCCCCTTCAGCTCAAGGGAAAAATTTACAAAACGATCATTAGACCTGTCGTGCTGTATGGATCTGAGTGTTGGGCGACGAAAGTTAAGCATGAAAGAGGAGTGCATGCGGCAGAGATGCGAATGTTGAGATGGATGTGTGGAGTGACAAGAATGGATAAGATAAAGAATGAGTATATCAGAGGAAGTGTGAAAGTGGCCCCGGTAAACAACAAATTAANTGCGGCAGAGATGCGAATGTTGAGATGGATGTGTGGAGTGACAAGAATGGATAAGATAAAGAATGAGTATATCAGAGGAAGTGTGAAAGTGGCCCCGGTAAACAACAAATTAAGGAGCGGACGGTTAGCGTGGTATGGACATGTGATGCGTAGAGAGAAGATGCATGTGACTAGGAGATGTATGGAAATGGTAGTGCAAGGTAGAGGGGAAGAGGTCGACCGAAGAAGACATGGATGGAGTGTGTGAATGACGATATGAGAGAGAGAGGAGTGAGTGTTGAGATGACGGCTGATAGAAGAGAATGGAAGAGAAAAATTAGCTGTGCCAACCCCACCTAGTGGGATAAGGTGGAGAAAAAAAGAAAGAAGTTGCAGGTTTTGTAAGTTTTTATGAGATCGCTTTTATTTTTTGATAGTTTGACTAATAATGTAAATTAGAAACTTATGAGTTTATTAGGACATATTTCCTCTCGATTATGGTCACCAGTAGGATAGTTTTTTTTATATTATTTAACCGAAAGGTTCGGTGCAATACATTTATTTTTACTGTGTCAAATACAGATACACAGAAAAGTTTCTTGGATTTTATAAACCCTTTTTTAGAGCAAATAGTATCATAAATTAAACTTTAGATACGATCTACACTACTTTGATAGAAAAATTAGCCCAGGCTCTGTACACTTTACCCTGAAGTTTGTGTTTTTTTTATTATTATTTATAAATTTATTATTTATTGTGTTGTTTATTCAGACAGAGACTTTGACTTTGTAATTAGGACCGCGATAAGTACAAGTTATGCTTCCAATAGGGACACTGACTAAATAATTATCGTATGTATGACTATGTCACAAAATGATCGCATTTGCTATCTGCATAAACTACATATTGTTATTACATTACATATTGCTACATATTAAGGATATTGATTACCTATTAATTACTTAACAACGTAGGGCACGTTGACAATGTTACAAAAGAGATTTTTATCTCACCTGCAGTAGCTCCTGGTTTAATCTAGAAAAAAAAACAATCTGTTGCTACTATTTATTTTTAGCTGACCTTTAAAGCGATTTCGAGAAAACAAAAACCCGTATTAATTATACATCTAATACAAAATTCATATACAATAAATACATCTAATACGAATTCATTCTAATACGAAAACTGATTTTTTTATTAATTTTTTATTGCTTAGATGAATGGACGAGCTCGCAGCCCACCTGGCGATAAGTGGTTACTCAAGCCCATTGACATCTACAACGTATATGCGCCACCCATCTTGAGATATAAGTTCTAAGGTCTCAGTATAGTTACAACGGCTGCCCCACCCTTCAAACCGAAACGCATTACTGCTTCACGGCAGAAATAGACAGGGTGGTGGTACCTACCCGTGTGGACTCAAAAGAGGTCCTACTACCATCAGTAGATGATTATACCAATAAATTTTTTTTAACAAGTATGCTTATAAAATCGTATTGCTCATGTCAAAGTTTAGTTTGTTCGCGGACCGCGCGAAGCTGATTTTAATGATTTCTATGTTTTCGATTCTTTGTTATCGATTTAAAATTAGCTTTTACGCTTTAAAATAAAAATTAGTTCCCTGCCGATCTGGTGTCAGTGGTCCGAATCGACACCTAAGAAATTACCGTTATCCCAATGCAACTAACGTCCGCTAAATGTTTTATGGTCTTTGTATTTATTGTCTGTGGCCTGAAGTGACGGCTTTGCTACTTGTGGATTGTGAGATCATCTATCTATCTACTTTAGTAAACAAAATGAACGAAAAACAATAAAAATTAAACCTGTGGTCATTAGCGTGCAGTGCATATCCTACAACACAAGCAAATAGAGTTTAAGCTCTTCTTCTTTTTCTCCACCTTATCCCACTAGGTGGGGTCGGCACAGCTAATTTTTCTCTTCCATTCTCTTCTATCAGCCGTCATCTCAACACTCACTTCTCTCTCTCTCATATCGTCATTCACACACTCCATCCATGTCTTCTTCGGTCGACCTCTTCCCCCTCTACCTTGCTCTACCATTTCCATACATCTCCTAGTCACATGCATCTTCTCTCTACGCATCACATGTCCATACCACGCTTACAAAATAAAATAAAAACACACTAAAGTATTGTACTTGATAGAACATACACAGTGGACATAATAATAATAATGTGTCAATTTCATACATACATACTTTATTACTAAGCCATATAATGTGTATAATAGATAAATAGTACAGAACTATTTTATCTAACCATCTGCTCCTTAATTTGTTGCTTACCGGGGCCACTGCCACCTGTAATTACGCAAATTATAATTTCTACGGGTTTCATTTTATAATTACAGCTAAAGTATGAAGGGTAGATCGATATCTGAGGGCTTGAAGCGAGTTGCGGCGGAAGAACTGAACGAAGATCCCAAGAAAATTCCTTTTTATATAAAGGCCATAAGAGATTGGTTGCAAGAGCAGCCTCATTTGCGTTCGATTAAAGCTTGTAAGTGAAGATCTACGTTTATTTTGTTTTAAAACACTTATATATACATATAAAATGCACCAAGGAGCGTAATGTAAGACGCCGTGGTTCACCTTTGACGGATAATCTAAATCAATTGGCGCGGATATTCACTGCAGCCCTTTAAGGGACCAACCTGTATCTAGCAAGGCATTAACATCACATTGAATTCGTATAGTACTTTTAAAGCAGTCCACTGAATGAACAAGAGATAACCTATATTGTTGACCGAATTTTTAAAAATGTAGACACTGTTCCTTATAAACACATTAACTTTTTATTGGGCTGCACAATACTATACATATATATGGGTTTGATAGTCTAAATAATAATGCACAATCATGTCTCTTAAAACTAACGACCATAAAAACGAAAACTTATCATAGAATATATGTGAAGAGCAATGTAATAGTCACGCTGTAAATAAATACACACATAATGATACATAATTGTACAGATAGCATTTAGCTAGGCAACGAAATCTTTAACATTTAACGTTAGATGACCTCGATTCAAGCATGTGTTGCTTCAGCACTAACTCTAAAAGAAGTTTGGGTAAAAAAGAAAAAACATGAGCTTGAAAACGCTTGAAAAACATAGGTAATGCTCTGTAAACGACAGAGTTCACTCACTTTTTTTCATACTGTCGTTAATTAGAGAATGTAATTTGAATACATCTGTGAATTGCCCACTATTATCTATAACATTTGTTATAAGTTATTATAATTTATATATCATTATATTTAATTCAAAAGAAGCATCAAAATCATTGAAAACGTCAGTTTTTTCATGATTTAAATATATTTTCTTCGTCGTTGAAGCCATTTCTGAACATAGTGATGTATGTACATATGTATACCAAGTAGTATTCGAAAATTCAGAAATAATATCGAAATGAGAGTAAAAAATGCAAGAGTCAACCAACCGTAAAACTGATTTAATTGCATCTACGACTTAAGAAAGCCAAACGAAACACTTTAAATCAATATTACTCCTACTTAAAGTAAATTGTTTGTAAATTGAATTTGTTTGTTACAGCGGATCAGTGGCTGATCGGATTCCTACGCGGGAGCAAATATAATTTAGATAAATGTAAAAAGAAACTGGATAAGTATTATACTTTGAAATCGGCCGCTCCAGAGTTCTTCAAAAATCGAGACCCATTAGATCCGTCAATGCAAGCGATGCTAAAGGCGGGGTATGTTGATAGTTTTATTACCATTGTACATGAATTGTCAAAGTAAACCCCTAAAAGAGAGAAATGGGCTTTTCTCGTTCAAATTACATAACAATTACACAAATATATTAAGTGATTATGTTTTAGATAAACTTATTATTAATATCTGGTCAGGGTACAATCAAAAACAAGGGTAGAAAATGACCGTCACTTTACATATTAAAAATACTGCGCACGTCATTTTATATTTAATTAATGTACGAGTATATTATTATACATTTCGTGTTGCCAAGCAATGTATCCAAATAATGATCTATCATTTTGATATCGCTGTTGTATTTAATCGTTATCATGCCAGGAGTCGCTAGGCAGCTTAATTTTTTTTTTTTTTTTTTTTTTTTTTTTTATTGCTTAGATGTGTGGACGAGCTCACAGCCCACCTGATGTTAAGTGGTTACTCTGGAGCCCATAGACATCTACAACGCAAATGCGCCACACACCTTGAGATATAGTTCTAAGGTCTCAGTATAGTCACAACGGCTGCCCCACCCTTCAAACCGAAACGCATTACTGCTTCACGGCAGAAATAGGCGGAGCGGTGGTACCTACCCGTGCGGACTCACAAGAGGTCCTACCACCAGTAATTACGCAAATTAGAATTTTTGCGGGTTTCATTTTTATTACACGATGTTATTCCTTCACCGTGGAAGTCAATCGTGAACATTTGTTGAGTACGTATTTCATTAGAAAAATTGGTACCCGCCTGCGGGATTCGAACACCGGTGCATCGCTTCAACACGAATGCACCGGACGTCTTATCCGTTAGGCCACGACGACCAAACGGAATAATAAATAATAAACGGAAAATATAAATTATAACTAGTCAGCTCATAAGTATTGTCACACAGTAAAAACTTTTCTTTTAGAATGCTGGCCACAAAAAAGTTTATTGAATTCGAATTTCGAATTGTTCATGAAAATAAAAATATATACTTTTAGAATTTTACTCATTTTTAAATATGGAGTGGACGCTTAAAGAAGACCGTGTTGCAGTTATTGCGTTGCATCGTTGCGGTTACGCGCCAATTCAAATTTTTAACATACTGAAAAATTTGAATATAACCAAAAGATTCGTTTATCGTACCATCAAACGATACAATGAAGACTCTAGTGTAGATGACAGGTCAAGAAGTGGTCGCCCTCGGTCTGTTAGGACTCCAGCAGTGATAAAAGCTGTGAAGGCGCGAATTCAAAGAAATCCCAAACGTAAGCAGAAACTGTTGGCCCTTCAGATGGGGTTAAGCAGAACCACGGTGAAAAGGGTGTTAAATGAAGACTTAGGGCTTCGGGCATATCGAAGAAAAACAGGACATCGTTTGAATGCTCGTCTAATGGACCTGAGACTGAAGAGATGCCGCGCTTTGTTGAAGCGGTACGCGGGAAAAAAATATCGGGAAATTCTTTTTTCGGATGAAAAAATTTTTACCGTAGAAGAGAGCTACAACAAACAAAATGATAAGGTGTACGCACACAGTAGTGAAGAAGCGAGCAACCGTATTCCGCGTGTCCAACGAGGTCATTTTCCATCCTCGCTCATGGTATGGTTGGGAGTTTCTTATTGGGGCTTAACAGAGGTACATTTTTGTGAGAAAGGTGTAAAAACGAATGCAGTTGTGTATCAAAATACAGTCCTGACGAACCTTGTGGAACCTGTTTCTCATACCATGTTCAATAACAGGCACTGGGTATTCCAACAAGATTCGGCGCCAGCTCATAGAGCGAAGAGCACACAAGACTGGCTGGCGGCGCGTGAAATCGACTTCATCCGGCACGAAGACTGGCCCTCCTCCAGTCCAGATTTGAATCCGTTAGATTACAAGATATGGCAACACTTGGAGGAAAAGGCGTGCTCAAAGCCTCATCCCAATTTGGAGTCACTCAAGACATCCTTGATTAAGGCAGCCGCCGATATTGACATGGACCTCGTTCGTGCTGCGATAGACGACTGGCCGCGCAGATTGAAGGCCTGTATTCAAAATCACGGAGGTCATTTTGAATAAACTTTAGTGTCATAAGAATCTATATTTTGTTAAGTTCATTTTGGTATATGAATAGTTACATAATGAATAAACTTGTTTCAATTATTTTACATTAAACATGTGACAGAATTTATGACCTGACTAGGTATAGACAGCTTGCAATGAATTATTGTTTTAATAAATTTAAACGTAAATTCTGAACTGGAGTTACAGAAAGATGACGGAATTGTAGGCATATGAGAGTTGCCTGGGGCGTTCGCTGGAGACACTAGATTCCACGCGTTTGCTAATTTGAATTGAGGTTTACTCGAAAGTCAAAAACTATAGTTTTATTTTTAACGTATCGTGAATTATTTATACTATTTATTCTTGGAACAATTTCTGTTCATCAGGTATTATTATTACTTCCTTATTATTATTATTATCATGAGGATCAGGGCAATATGATCGAGAAGCCCGCGAATTTCCAGCCGGCTTTAGTTAATCACTCGTCCCCGCTACTCCTACACGAAATCGCTCGACTACATACAGCATAACAGAACGTCATCCATCGTACTCACCAGACATTGCGCCGACAGACTAATAATCGTTCCAAAGTTTGGACAGCCTCTTGTCAGGGAAAATGTTAATACCCACGGGGCAAAATGCTTAAGAGGAGCCGTATACCTGATTTCTTTAAGAAGGACATTGAAAAATTACCACTATACTGGCATAGATACCATGGGTGCATATTTTGCCGACATAAATAAAAAAAAAAAAATATCTTTAACTTTCTATATACTAAACGGCAACTATTTAGGTAAATACCAAATTTAATAGCGTATGTAAATAAAATCAGCCAGGCATCTTCTCGTGCCTATTTCTTCCGAGAAGCAGCGATACGTTTTGCTTTCGAGGGTGGCTGGTGGCCGTTGTATTATACAATTGAGACTTAGATCTTATGTCTAAAGGTGGAATAGGCTCCCTGTGGGATCACGCTCCCTTAACTGCTTGACACCAGGAGCGCTGTAAGCTCATTTAACCATTTAAGTAATAAAAAATTACAAAAGTTTAAATTTATTTGGTAGGAGAACAAACATATAGCTGGAATTGGCTGCCCGTATTATCTGATGTATAGCGGGATAGACTATTTTCAGTTTTGGATCCTCTGATCTTCTGGATCCTACTATTTTAGTTAACCTTATTATAGTCCTTCTCGACATAAACATATTGTGCAGATTCTGATATACCCCTCCCAATTTCACTGAACTGGAAAAGGCAAGTTTAACTAGATTCAAATATTTCAGAATAAATAAGTTCGTTTTGTTCCAGAATATTCTTACCTCTAAGGAATTGCGTCACAGAAGACGGCCCTCGGCCTTGTTTAGTCAGAATGTCGGAACAGTATAAATCTAAAAGACCTTTATCTGATCTCATAAAGATCAGTTTTATGTTTGCTGAATTAATGCTCTTGGAAGATGACAACTTTAACATCGCGGGGCAGGTAAATTTTTAAAAATCTTTTGTTTTGATTCAAAAATTTAAAACAAAGTTCGGAATAACAGTAGCATTATCGTTGTATTCTTATAAAGTTAAATATGCATGTCTTAACGGTAGGCAGCGTCTTGGCTCTGCCCATTGCGTTGCTGACGTACATGAGCGACAGTAACCACTCACCATCGGTGTGGTGACCACCAGGTGGGACGTTTTGCTCGTCTACCTACAAGGGCAATAAAAGAAAAACCTAATACGCTGACGAACTACTTTCATCATGAAAGAATAATGTTGCGTAATAATCAATTCCATTTTTATTAAGTTTCAATTTCAATTCAACCCGGTCGGCGGTGTATCGCGTTGCGACCCGGCAGGCTGGTTCTAGCCCAGCGGGGTATCCCGGAAAACCAGCGGCATCGCCTGGGCGGCAGGGCAGGGCCACCGTACCGCGAAGACCGGCGTCGTTGGTCGTCGACTATCGCCTCGACGACCCGTAGGTCGGGCGTGCTCGGGGTGACGCCGCGTGTCTGGTTGCAGTGTTGACCGCGGGAGCCCCCCAACTCTGACCGGGTTCTGACCCCGGATAGAGATCGGACGTCAGGTGTAAGAGTGCAGGGGAGTCGTTTAGTGCGGTAGGGCCCTAAAATTCCTTGAGCCCGCGGTCTGCTCCCAACACCTTGCAGATCGTCAAGTCCCACATACCCCGCGCGCCCCCTAGGCGCGGGAAACTCGTAGGAGGTTCGGCCCCTACTACTGAGTTCATGTACAGATAAATCTATGACCAACCGTTGTTAAGCGGCTTCTGGAGCTACTACAACGTGAAACTTGCTACCTACCTCCCTCAGTAATTTTATGTAAATATCTACCTAGTCCAGCTATAAGTTCTGCTACAAATGAAAATGCATTTTTTTTAATAAAGCATGTAATATTATTAAAATTTATATACCTACATATTTATTATAGTCTCAGCAAAAAATAAAAAAGATTCTATTCGAAATGGCCACTTTTGGTTTATAAACAGACCTTTAATCTGTTTGGCCACGAATCTATGGATTTACGCACTGTACCGAAGGGAAAATTCGCCACTGCTTGCTCCAAAGATTTTTTAAAAGAATCTATGTGTGTTTAGAGCAGGCCATGTCTTCTACAACTGACCATAAATGGCCTAAAGGGTTGAGTTCTGGGCTGTACGAGGGCCAGTCTTCGGCTCTTATAAAGTCCGGAACGTTGGTTCAAGCCAGGCTTGTGTAGTTTGTGCCTTGTCATCAGGTGCAGAGTCCTGCTGGAAAGTCCACGGTATATATTTTAAAAAAGTGTATTCCTGAGAGGTTCCACAACATAATCCAAGACTGTATCTTGATACACTTTGGCTGAAGTTTTACCTCTTTTTTTTAAAAAAATGTAGCTTTGTGACTCCTTGATAAGACACGCCCCAACAAACCATCACTGTCGCAGGATGATGACCACGTTGTATTTTCCGACCACTTGAGCAGCTTGTTTAGAACTGTGAGCTTTATCATTTTGCTTATTGTAGTATTCTTCAAACGGCAAACTTTTTTCAACGGCAAAGAGGATATTTCTGTGCCTTTCACCTGCATATCGCTACAGAAGGCGTTTTGATCGATCCACTCTCTTTAATTGTAAAGATTGATTTAGGGCATGTCCTGTATATCGACGATAAGTACCGAGCTTCAGGTCTGGTTTTAAACTACACGACTGAGTCCTAGCGGGAATCTTCATTTCTCTCGATAAGATTTTTTTCTTCCTAATGGGGTTTCGACATTTCGACATTCAACACGAAAAAACATGTGAAATGACGCAAAATCGAAAGAAGTTTTTAAAATAATATACGTGTTCCAAATTGATAATAATTAATAAGTAGAAAAAAAAAGAAAAGTTTTTATGTAACAGTATTTATGGTCAGACTAGTTACTCACCAGAATTTAATTATTATCATTTTAGATAGTTCTGGTGGATCTAAGCGATACTGGTTTAACTTTATTGACACAGTTCAGTCCTAGTGTTGCGAGGAAGACATTTTTGTACGCGGAAAGGGCTCTGACAGTTCGCATGAAAAGCATTTATGTGTTGAACATGTCACGTGGCTTAAAGGCTACCCTGAACGTTATCAAGATGTTGCTGGGACAGAAAATAAGAAATAGGGTAAGTTTTCACATATACCTTTAAAGCATGTATTGTACTTACCTGTATTGTGTTTTAGGTAAAGCCGCGTTGGCGTAATGACTGATCATAATCACTGACGCCCCAAGATTTATTACTTATTCATTAATTAATTTAAAAAAATCATAAAATCATTATTACCTTAAGTAGTGACAAAAATCAGTGATAGTTTCAATCGTATCGTGCTTGCTCTAAATTCAAGGTTAAGTTATGTAATTACGTATTAAAATACACAAGAAATTATAATACAGAGCATAAATAATATAACGCCATACAAGGAGTCTGAATGAAATTAATCATAATTATTTTTATTTCAATAATAAACTTACTTTGAAATTTTTTTACAGTACTTAACATTAATAATTATATATACTATGTACATATTTTATTAAGTCGGATTAAAAAGTAGCAGTTCCTTATTTTTCTCCCAATCCCAAATTAAAACATAAAATTTTTATAATGAACGACTACATTATTTAATACCCAAAGTATGTACCTATTATAATTTTATTATTGTTTTTTTTTAATAATTAAATTTAAGTAATTGCTATTTGTGTGAGAAATAAATCGTTTTCTCGAATATTATTCGAGAAAATGAGGAATACGACTGTAATTAATTATTCGACGAGATTAGATCCACCTTACCCGTGCAGACTCGCAACACGTCCTACCTCCAGTAATTACGCAAATTATTATTTTGCGGGTTTGATTTTTATTACACGATGTTATTTTTTCACTGTGGAAGGCAATCGTGAACATTTGTTAAGTACGTATTTCATTGGAACTTTTTTTTTTTGTTTTTTTTTTTTTTTTTGTAAATAAATCAATATTCACTAACAATCACGCCACGTTAACTGGTCCCGTGATAAGTTCGTAAAGAACTTGTGTTACGGGTACCAGATAACGGATATAAATGTAAGATTTTTATTATACACATACATATATTTAATATACATCCATAACCCTGGAAAAGACATATATATTTATCATACAAATATCTTCCCTTGGCGGGATTCGAACCCGCGACCCCCTTGTGTAGTGACCATGTCACTTACCACTACACCAGACGGCCGTAACTGGTAGGTTGGTAGGTAACTGACGGCGGGATTCCAACACCGGTGCATCGCAACATACGAGTGCACCGGACTTCTTATCCTTTAGGCCAAGACGACTTCAAAACGACAAAGTATTAACGATTATTTAAAGTGATTGGTTAAAATTATTTTTTGGTGTTTTAAATTAGTTTTTTTGATCGGTTCATTTAGTTAATGGAGTCTATAGACATCACCATGTGAATGTCTCATGTGAAAGAGGTTTGGAAATATCTAATATCGTCAACAACAAATGTACTTCTGTATTCGATAAAATAAAATTGCAATAAGATCAATATTACATTGCAGGTACAAATGTACGATGAGAATTACGGAAAATTATACAATTACGTACCAGAATCAATATTGCCAGCCGAGTATGGAGGTGATATGGGTGACGTCCAAGAACTAACAGGTATTGAAGTTATAAAAGAAATGAATGATTGGATCAATGCTCACTTTGACATGCTTATAGACAGATATAAATCATTTTTCATATCATTATCATTCAGTGTTAAGGAATTTATAGGCCGAGTGAGGCTCTGAGCGCACACAATATTACATATAAATGATGTTCCTTACAGATTACTGGAAAACGAAAATGGAAAGCTATAGAAGCTGGTTTTTACTGCAAGATGAAAATTTTGAAAAGGTTACGGCAAACATCATCACTCCCAGTCCTTCACCAACTGCGACAGAAAACAACGAAGAAAATCGAACATTTCGACGATTAGAGTTAGATTAAAAAGTAATTTACCAATTATAATGCCTACAACTGGAGTAGTATTAAGCATCCTCAAAGTCAATCCATTTTTACCTCGGTAAAAAACGCGTTGGTTGGATTGTGTTGCGTTGGTGGAGGGGGATTTTTCGAGCCTCACTGTGAGTAAATTAAACGGGCGTGGTAATTCGCCGTTGGGCAACGCTACAGGACTCTTCCCTGAAAGTTTTCCATCGATACCAGAACTATCAGGCCGGAACATTTCCGATCCTGCGGACCGAATGGTAAACAGTCGATGTCACCCAAAAGACGTTATTTCGGATCCTCCCGATACGTTAACGGTGCTTTTAGGTATCTCAGCAATGGTCATCGTTCTCGTCGAACCTGCCGTACGAAGGGCTCAGCGAGTAAGCTAACCCACAGACACAGCCCACTGAGTTTCTCGCCGGATTTTCTCAGTGGGTCGCGTTTTCGATCCGGTGGTAGATTCTACGAAGCACTGCTCTTGCTAGGGTCAGTGTTAGCAACTTTGCCAGGTTTAAGCCCCGTGAGCTCACCTACTCGTTCGGTAACGCTGATATAGCCTCTCAAGTCTATCAGCATGTGTAGAAAAAAAATTATCAGGCTAGGTTGTAAGAAGTCTTCACAACCCTATTCGTTTTGCCTGTATGAGCTATCGAATGAGCCGATAAATTATATAGGCGTATATTTTTGGTTGACATCATACTCGTATAAGAGTTCAAACAATAGAATGAAAGTCCTGGAAATCATTTTGCGAAGATACACGGCGGTAGATAGATAGTCTGTAGGTCAATTAAAACATTACAGACTCCGTTGCAATAAAAAAATTGTATTGAGGTAAAATAAATTAATTTTTTCAATAAAATCTTTTCGTTTCAATGTTCATAGTCTTTTCCTTTATGAATAAAAGACAAGAAAAACAAGCTTCCTGAAAGTTAAAATGAGCAATCACTCCTCGACGAAGTCGTTGGCTTCAAATTACATTCCAATTTACAAATTACTTTGTGCCAATTTTAGAGTAAACAAAAACACAAAGGTGTTTTCTTCTCAAAAAACATCTTAAGCATCAGTTCTACAAGTGTACAATGTTACTTGCCGTAAAATACGTTGTTTCCTTTTTTCAAATGGAAAACAAAACACATTTTTGGATCGGGCCAATTTACGTAGTCACCTGTTTAATAAAAACCGTGAAAGTAAAACACAAACTTTTTATTTATTTATAATAACAGTGCTGTTTTATTTGTTAATTTAAGAGTTCCCTTAATTAAAATTAAACTACACATCTGAAACTATTGTGGTTAGTACTAAGATGACTGTAAACAGAAATAAATGTGTTGTTTTTTTTATAGTTAGAAAGAGATTTTACTCATTAAATAAGATAAAAAGAAACTCACCGGTGACCGGTGGTTGTGGTGCCTAAAAGCACCGTTAAGGGATCAGGAGGATCCGTAATGACGTGCTTTGGGCGACGTCGACGGCTTACCATTCGATCTACAGGATCGGGTATGTAGTTTCCAGCGGCCACGACAAGAGGGTTCTCATGTCGTGCCGCCTTCTCAAAGTAGCGCACCGATGCTGACTGTAGATACTTACTGACAGAGTCGAGCTCCAGGTCATCTTGGAGATCCACGTTCCTCAGGAACCATGGCGCTCCGACGGCTATCCTGCAGAATCGGGATTGAATAACCTGAAGGGGTTTCAAGTTGGTGCGGGCCCCGTGAGCGAACACTACGCTTGCATAGGTCATGACGGGGCGTATGCAAGTTTTGTAGAGAGTTACCTTATTACGGAGGGACGGTTTGCTTCGTCTACAAAGCACTCACCCTTCAAACTGAAACGCATTACTGCTTCACGGTAGAAATTGGCAGGGTGGTGGTACCTACCCGTGCGGACTCACAAGAGGTCCTACCACCAGTAATTACGCAAATTAAAATTTTACGGGTTTGGTTTTTATTACACGATGCTATTCCTTCACCGTGGAAGACAATCGTGAATATTTGTTAAGTACGTATTTCATTAGAAAAATTGTTACCCGCAGGCGGGATTCGAACACCTGTGCATCACTAGATACGAATGCACCGGATGTCTTATCCTTTAAGCCTTCGTCAAACAGAACGCGTACTTAGCGCGCGTCAGAGCGCTAAACTAACGCCGCGCTATGACGCGCGCTAATTACGCGTTCTGTTTGACGAAGCCTTTAGGCCGCGTCGACTTTTAAATACGCATTTCCATTTTCGTACGTATTTCCATTATCTGGAATAATGGCACTTAACACAATGTAACTGATATCAAATACATGTGTATAATATTAATAATTAGACAATGTGTTTATCAACAAGCTGAACTGCTATAAATGTACGACTCCAAGCACATAAATATCGATAACTCAATTTTTGTACATATGTATATTATATTAATCATATAAATATAAGTTCGGCTAATATTTTCATTGGTTTTTTTTTCATTTGTCTCTTTAGTTTAATTAAAAACTCGTTTCTGTACATACGAAAATGTTGCAATATTTTTTGCGGTGTTCTGTGTTCATTTATTTTCAATTCGTCTAAGTGGGCACATCGCGTTCATATATTTTAATAATTATAATTAACATCTGTATTAATTAACCTTGATACTAAATAAAATAGGTATGTTTAAAATTTCCTTATTGAGTTTTAAATTATCCAGTAGTTCAAGAAGCTTGAAGTGTTTGTGTCCGTAATTTGATATTATTTATAATTTGATATTAAATAGCCTTAAATAAATATTATAAATTACTATAATAAATCTAAATACGACAATTTCAATGGACACTTGTTACGCTTGTCCTTGGCTATTGATGTTTTGAAGTTTAAGGTTAAAGCGTTTTTTTTCAAATCAACCTTTCCAAAATTAAAAAAAGTTATAGAGCATAATGAAATCCGTGAGTGTATCAAAAACAGATCAATGAAAATGAAGACCAGAGTACTAAGTCCGGCATTAAGAAAAGTTGCTAAAAACGAACTTGGAGAAGACCTTGAAAAAATCGCAGCAGATCTTATAGTCTTGAGAGCTTGGGTACAAGAATTAGGACAAGGGCAACCAAGTAGGTCAAATTATTTTTCATTTGCTTATCTAATACTAACAAATGTTTTTGCTGTTTGATAAACATCTTTGTTGATGAATTTCGTATCTTATTTGGGATTTTCCTCCAGTTAATCTGTTGATACTATGCAACGTCAATGTAAGGGTATTTTAGGTTAAAAATAGTATAATTTAGAAAACAAAACTGTTTTCTTACGGCACGTGCAAGAAAGCAGAGGTCGTTGAACTTTGTGCAGTGATGTATAACCGCTAATCAGAAGTTGATTGTTGCTATCTTGTTATATAATGTTTTTACAAAAATGTGGTAAATTCGAGACCTAGGGCACTTTAGGGCCGTAAGGTTTATCGAAAACGACTTTCACGATTTGATGCCTGCCAGATCGTATAATTAGATGAAATGCCTAATATGGTTATGGTAAAGTAGAATATCTCATACAATTTAAAAGAAAAGTAAGAATTCAATGTAAAACAATTTTTCCAGCATTAAAACATCACTCTGTGTGTGCGGATGTAAATAAAGTATGTAGTCACAGAAGTCACCCAAAATTAACAACTTTAACCAAAATTAAAACAATCAAAGGAAAGGAGAAACCTTTTTTTTAACCCTATCTATTTGCTGGTAGCCTAGGGGGCTATTCCAGCTACGCCCGGACGGTAGGTGAGCTCACGGGCTCAACCTGAGAGAATTTGTTAACACTAGCCTCAGCAAGAGTAGTGCTTCGCAGAAACTACCACTAGATCGGAATCGCGTCCCTTAGAGATGATCTGGGGAGAAACTCAGGGTTAGTTCACTCGTCGAACTCTTCGTCGTAATCGACGAGTTCGATGAGGACGCTGATCGATGCTTGAGGGCGGCCCTAAAAGCACCGAGAGAGGATCTGGGGGACCGGACAAGAAATGTTTGAGTTGCCCCGTCGCCTGGGTCGGATAGGTAATTAGCGGCTGCCACAATAAGTGGATTATCATGTTGCGCCGCTTTGTCGAAGACTACTTCACTAGCTCTGACACTACCTTAAGATACTTACGTATCGGTTCTAAATTTAGATCGTCGTGAAGGTCATTCTTCCTCACGTACCACGGTGCTCTGTCGGCTACCTTGCAGAAACGGGATCGGATAACCTGGAGGGAGTTTGCGTGCATGCGGGCCGTGCGAATACTACACTTGCATAGGTCATGACATGCAAGTTTTGTAGCGTCATCTGGTTACGAAGGGACAATTTACTTCGCTTGCCGATCATGGGGTGGAATCAACCGAGCAAGAATGTGGCTCTGTCGCGTACTGATTTAATGTGGGGATCGAATGGCATCCCTCTGTCTAGTATGACGCCTAGGTGTTTGGCATTCGAAGCCCACGGTATGTGCTGGCCAAAGATTTTGATGGTGGGAAAAGAGCTACCGCGCGTAAATCGTGACCAGGAAAGTAGCGGTGGTGTCGGAAGAGCAACCCCTTTTCAAGAGCACGGATGTGCTTTTCGTGGGGTTGATGTCGATGCGCCACTTCCGGAACTACTGTCCTAAATGGGTGGCTGCGATCTGAAGTTTACTATGCATGAACGACATCTTCCTACTCAAGTAGTAGAAAGCCGTATCATCCGCAAAAAGGGCTAGCTGGGTCGCCGGTAACCGGGGTAAATCGATAATATATAGACTAAAAAGTAGCGGGGATAGATCGAAGTCTTACGTGATTCCGGCCGAGACTTCTCGCGGGAGGGAACGGGTTCTCTCGACTCGATACTGAAACCGAACGGCTCGAAAAGAAGTCTCGTATGATGAGCACGAGATTGTCTGGCACGCCCATGTTATACATTTTGTAAATCAAAAGGTTGTGCCAGACTTTGCCGAACGCTTTCGCGATATTGAGGGTAAGGGCTCCCATGGGGATGGGTCTGCGTCTATTTAGCCCTATTAGGATGTGCTCCGTGAGGCGGTGCACTTGCTGAATGCACGAGTGTTTCGCGCAGAATCCGAAACTGCATCTGAATCCGAACTGTTCGTCGATCAGGGTGCCTTTCGAAATGATGAAGTCCCAGAGGCATTTGCGTAATAGTCGCTCGTATAATTTGCCTAACAAAGGGAGGAGGCTGATCGGGCGGTAGCTCGCGGGTTCATATTTAGGTTTTTCAGATTTGTGTATGCCGATAACGTCCGCTTCTTTCCACACCGCGGGAAAGATGCAGTTTATCATAGCGGCGCTTAAAACGGAAACCAACCAGATTATTACTTGGGCGGGTAAAATTTTTAAAACGCGGTTATGGAATCCGTGGAAGCCGAGCGCTTTCTGTGGTTGTACTGCCATTGGGCTATAGTAACCATACAGAAAAAGATGGGCTGTGCACTTTTTACCTATCAACAGCATTTAAAAATCATAAACTTAGTTAGCATCTTTCGGTATATTTATTACTTTGGTTTTTCTAAAATCTCCTGTTAATGTGTAATCGAAAGTTATATCAACTCCTAGTATAAACTAATCCGTTTTGTACATAAAATTACAGGTAATCAATGGCTGATAGGTTTCCTACGAGGTAGTAAACACAATGTCGAAAAAGCTAAAAGCAAATTGGAGAAGTATTACAGCTTGAAAGTTTCTATTCCTGAATTTTATACAAATAGAGACCCAATGGACCCGAAAATACAAGCCTTACTGGAACATGGGTTTGTAACTATGTGTGTCCACTAAAGCACGAAAATATGCGGCGCAGAAAAACTGCAAAAGCATATTATTATCATGTTTGTATTATCGCATAATTAGCATCGCTTGTAGTTGCTGAATATTTTAAGACAGACCAGTCTGGCAAGTTTCTCTATCTCTATCGTAAACGTGCGTTAGAGTAGGATGAACGAACCAGCGGTATATAGCGGATGAGCATTGAGCAGTGTCTTTTTCGCAAGTCGGAAACATCCGAAGTATTAATTAGACACCGATTGTACGACGATTGTTGTATGAAATGTATCAATTACTATCATTCTATTTAAATGGGTTATATGCCTGCCTACTAAGGCAAGAATAAAGATATTTTGCTAGGTTTGGGAACTCATTTCTTCAAGTATCGTAGAATCAAAGCTAGATATGCGATCCTATATGATTGGGCCATTGCTGTTTGACGCTAAGAAATATTATATTAGTAACTGGCTCCTATTATTTTGATATTACATATATGTCAAGCCGAAATGCCAACGTTCCTGCCTTTGCGGCCACACATTATGCCATGCCCCTAGTGAGTGTTTCAATAATAAAGTTAATAAAGTTCAGTTTTTCACGTACCACTGATCCAAAAAAATAATAGAGTTACATCCACAAATCTTAACTTCAAGCTCTGAGCAATGGCTATGAAGAAATATAGTTCAAAAACTCCTAACGTAGAATGTCACTTTATGTGTGAGTGGTGATGACGGGCAAGCGCTGACTTTTTGTGCTGTGTACTTTTACTTTTTTTTTAAGACCATGTGGAATATGAGCTTGACCCGTTTGCCAAGAGGTTTTAGTTTTTTTTAAACTACTTGTAATAAATACTTTCGATCAACGTCATCCATTTTATATAAGTCTCTAATAATAGCAACTTACCTTACTTGACAAACAAGCTTTAAGTAAGGTACCTATCCTTAGTCACAGTGGCTTTTCTGTTTCGTGGTATCTTTCGGGTCATATGGAGTAAACGACGGCTATTTAAAAATAATCTAATGGGAATATTAGTCCCATGATTTTCTATTTATATGAATTTGTTTTGTCAATTTGATATTTAATGTTACAGAATATATTTGCCGTTAAGGAAATGTGCCCGTGAAGACTCTCCTCGCCCCGCTATCATCAGAGCAGGCCCACTTTACAAACATCAGCATGCAGTCGCTGATTTAATCAAGATAAGTTTCATGATCGCGGAAATACTGCTTTTGGAAGACGACAACTTCACCGTTGCGGGCAAAGTGAGGCCTCACCGTTACTACTTATAAATAAATATTAAAATAACTGATAAATGGTAGAAACTTCTTTAGTTTTTGTTTAATATATTATTTGAATATATTGTACTGCTGGTTACCGAAATATATAAAATATATTTCATCTCACAATGGGCTCGCAGTGCTGCAACCCTAAATTATCTATTGATAAAAATACAGGCTGCAATTAAGTAGAGGTCTTACTGATATCTTTGATACACGTAAAATGCACGTGTTCAAAACGAAAAAATTATCACCAAAGAAAAGAAAAAAAATTATCATTCATGTAGTTTCACATCAAAAAATGTTTTCGTACGGATAGAGTCCGCTAAATTCACGGCTCATCTGGTATTAATGCCCAAACGTGCTCAGCTGGAGGTAATCTATACATATAAATAAAATTAGAGTGTCTGTTTGTAATAGTGAAATAACCGCTTTTTACTACATGCATATGAATATATTTACGGTACACCAAAATAACATTTTTTACAATTTTTGTCTGTATATCTGTCTGTCCGTCTGTCTGTCTGTTTGTTCCGGCTAATCTCTGGAACGGCTGGACCGATTTTGACGAGACTTTCACTGATAGGTAGCTGATGATATAAGGAGTAACTTAGGCTACTTTTTTTAGACTAGCTTGGCCCCGCGGCGTCACCCGCGATACGATAATAACCGCGGGACTGAGCTATCAATAATAAAATTCAATGTTTCGGAAGCGAAGCGAGGGCGGGTCGCTAGTTTAAAATAAAAATATATACGGCTCGAACAGGAGTTCGTTATTGAACATGTCAACTTTCCCTAATTAAGTCAATACCTATTCAGTTTTAATAACTTTCAGGACATATTAGTCGATATGCAAGAAACCGGTTTCGGATTACTAAGTCAATGGACTCCGAGCATAGCTATGAAATCAATGACGTGTGTAGAAAAGGCGTTGCCAATACGACTGAAACATATACAGCTAATAAATTCGCCCAGAGGGATAATGGCAGCCGTTGCTATACTGAAAATGTTTTTGGGATCAAAAATGAGGAAAAGGGTGAGGGGTAATTTCTTACTAACATTTTCAATCTTATACATCGTTTATTAAAAACGCTTCCGAAGCAGAAACGGGAATAGACTAAAAGTGTAAAGAAATCGAAGAACATTATATTATGTACAGTTACTAAACCGAGTTAATAAACTAACTTGGTCTGTTTTAGTAAGTTAGTATTTTGTTAATCTGCAATACCGGTGACTTCTGTTTTTTTTTTAATAGTTGGGTGGACGAGCTCACGGCCCACCTGGTGTTACTCGTAAGTAGTTAGCGGAGCCCATAGACATCTACAACGTAAATGACGCCACCCACCTTGAGTTATGAGTTCTGAGGTTTCAGTATAGTTACAACGGCTGCCCCACCCTTCAAACCGAAACGTATTACTGCTTCACGTCAGAAACAGACAGGGTGGTAGTACCTACTCGTGCGGACTCACAATTCGTCCTACCATCAGTAATTGCGCAAATTATAATTTTGCGGGTTTGATTTTTATTACACGACTAGCTGAACCGACAGACTTCGTAGTGCCTCAGTCGATAAATAAAATACCTAAAATTATGTATAAAATAAACTTAAAACCAACAAAAGGAATCCGTCCGACGGGGGACACTTCAAAGGAAAAACAAAACTGTTTGTTTTTATATAATTCCGAGCATTTTCATATTTTTCACCTTTTAAACTTTCTCTGGACTTCCACGAATAATTCAAGACAAAAATTAGCCAAATCGGTCCAGCCGTTCTTGAGTTTTAGCGAGACTAACGGACAGCAATTCATTTTTATATATATAGAAGAAGAAGATGTTATTCATTCATCGTGGAAGTCAATCTTGAACATTTGTTATGTACGTATTTCATTAGAAAAATTGGTACCCGCCTGTGGGATTCGAACACCGTTGTGTTGCTCGACACGAATGCACCGGATGTTTTATCCGTTAGGCCACGACGACTTCAGAAGTTGAATTGCTTATTCAGTGTTTGAAGTAGCGTACATACATTTTTTAATATCAGCGTGGTTTTTCAATTGCTGTCGTGGGATTAAAACTATTGTTTTGGTATTCCGGATATTCGTTTAGTACATCGTATATAAATTTGAAAGTTGAATAACAAACTTATGTTTTATATGATTATGGATTATGTTTCTTATATTTTATAGCAGAGGGGAGACTGAAAAAGCATAATTTCTTAATACCTTAAACGAAGGTCAAAACAAGTTCGACCATGCAATATTCTTACATCGGACATTTATTTTAAACTTACCAACGTTTCAGATTCAAGTTTGCGGTTCCAACTATGAAGACGTTTATGAAAATCTTCCGAAATCTATTCTCCCCGAGGAATATGGAGGAACTGACGGCAGCGTGCAAGAATTGATAGGTTTTTATTTTTATAAAATTTTATTTTAAGAGAGCCGTAATTATATTTTTTATTGTAAACGAAGCAACACGTTCGATAAGTATTCGAAATTTGATCGGCCTGCTTATCGTTTACCAAACAAAAAAAAACTCGTTCCTTCTCAAGGGCACCGAAAGATTGTCAGTGACAATACGGATGACGAAAGCGTGCTTGTATGAAATTAGGCTCCACAGAGTAAAGGTATATATAGAGAGATAGATCATCGGCCAGTATTAGGTTATGACTTCATTAACTTCTCCCATCCGGGTGAAGCTGAAATAGCCTCTTAGGATACCGGCGAATAGGTAAAAAAAATTAACATAATAAGCACTTTTTGCTGTCTTGCTCTTATCCAGATAGGAGATGGGGGATGAGCTGAGCTCATACACAGAACAGCGTGAAATCCACCGTCTACTTTATTGCAGATGGGCCATTAGCTCGTTTGCCCATGAATAGAAGAGACTGCGACCTCATGTCTCGAATTGTGTTGTATATAGGCTCCAGTAGTCGTTTCTGCCCCCGTCATCTGACTGCCGGAGTCCCGCAAGGCTTCGCGCTCTCCCTGTTATTATTTAGTTTGTATACCAATGATATACCCCGGTCTTCGTAGACCCATCTAGCGCTCTTCGCCGATAACACGGCTATCTACTACTCGAATTCGTTGTTGCATCGGCGACTCCAGATCGCAGTATCCACCATGGGACAGTAGTTCCGGAAGTGGTGCATTGACATCAACCCCACGAAAAGCACAGCGGTGCTCTTCAAAAGGGGTCGCCTTCCGAATACCACTTCGAGCATCCCACTCCTTAATAGGCGCGCAAACAACTCCGCCGTTAGCCTCATCACTCTCTTTGGCCAGCCCATACCGTGGGCCTCGAAGGTCAAATACCTAGACGTCACCCTCGACAGAGGGATGACATTCCGTCCCCACATTAAAAGGGTACGCGACCGTGCCGCCTTTATATTTACTAGGACGACTCTGCCCTATGCTTTGTAGACGAAGCAAACTGTCCCTCCGTAATAAGGTAACTCTCTACAAAACTTGCATACGCCCCGTCATGACGTATGCAAGCGTAGTGTTCGCTCACGCGGCCCGCATCAACTTAAAGCCCCTCCAGGCTATTCAATCCCGATTCTGCAGGATAGCCGTCGGAGCACCATGGTTCCTGAGGAACGTGGATCTCCACGATGACCTGGAGCTCGACTCTGTCAGTAAGTATCTACAGTCGGAATCGCTGCGCCACTTTGAGAAGGCGGCACGACATGAGAACCCTCTTGTCGTGGCCGCTGGAAACTACATACCCGATCCTGTAGACCGAATGGTAAACCGTCGACGTCGCCCAAAGCACGTCATTACGGATCCTCCTGATCCATTAACGGTGCTTTTAGGCACCACAAGCACCGGTCACGAACCCGTCGCTTGCGACGAAGGGCTCGACGAGCGAATTAACCCATAGACACAGCCCACTGAGTTTCTCGCCGGATCTTCTCAGTGGGTCGCGTTTCCGATCCGGTGGTAGATTCTGCGAAGCACTGCTCTTGCTAGGTCCGTGTTGGCAACACTCCGGTTTGAGCCCCGTGAGCTCACCTACACACGTTAGGGTGAAGCTGAAATAGCCACTCAAGGCTATCAGCATAGGTAGGGAAAAAAGTCGTTTCTGAAATCTTATGAAAGTCATTTATATATAATATAGAAATTTGAGTAATTTAGGAACTTTAGTAATTTTATTTTTTGCACAGACTACTGGAAAAATAAGGTGGAGAGCTACAGAGACTGGTTTTTACATCAGGAGCGGACTTCCTGAAGATAGTTTTAAGTGGACTTAATGTTAGTAAATATGATAAAAATAATTACATTAATAACGTTGGTAATGGCTGGAGTTGTTTTAAAAAATATTTATCATAAAATACTTATTAAGAATTAATACTAATTTATTTATTTATCATTTCAATATTATAGATTAACATTAAGCTAGACATGTAATATAATGGACGGATTTATGAATGATTTGTTTCAATTTTATTCCAAATTTTTATTGTTATTGTCTTCAGGGGCTGGTGAGCGTAAAGTCTATCTGATGGTGAGTGGTAACCGTCACTCTTCGACATCAGCAATGGTAGGGGCATAGCCACGCATCTGCCTACCGCTGAGTACCGTCCGAACATCTCGTTTGAAGAAGGACATTGTCATAGTTTTTTTTTCATATTGCTTAGTTGCAACTTTCAGATATAAGTTCTAAGGTCTCAAGTATAGTTACAACGGCTGCCCCACCCTTCAAACCGAAACGCATTACTGCTTCACGGCAGAAATAGGCAGGGTGGTGGTACCTACCCGCGCGGACTCGCAAGAGGTCCTACCACCAGTAATTACGCAAATTATAATTTTGCGGGTTTAATTTTTATTACACGATGTTATTCCTTCACCGTGGAGGTCAATCGTGAACATTTGTTAAGTACGTATTTCATTAGAAAAATTGGTACCCGCCTGCGGGATTCGAACACCGGTGCATCGCTAGATACGAATGCACCGGACGTCTTATCCTTTAGGCCAAGACGACTAGCTTAGCGCTCAGGAAACTCCGTAGAGGGGAGTCCATTCTAGAGCCTGAAGGTACGCGGCAGAAGGCGTTCTGAAGAGGAACTGTCTATGAACGCAGCGGTACCAGATAGTATTGATGAACTCTTTTTCGGTGCCGGGAGGTGTGATGGTAAAAAGGCGATGCAGGGAAGCAGGGAATTTTATTCTTTACTGGTGGTAGCACCTCTTGTGAGTCCGCGCGGGAAGGTACCACCACCCTGCCTGTTTCTGCAGTGAAGCAGTAATGCGTTTCGATTTGAAGGGTGGGACAGCCGCTGTAACTATACTTGAGACCTTCGAACTTGTATCTCAAGGTGGGTGGCGCATTTACGTTGTAGATGTCTATGGGCTCCAGTAACCACTTAACATCAGGTGGGCTTTGAGCTCGTCCACCCATCAAAGCATTAAAAAAAAAATTTGTTCGAGATTATCCTTTCTATATGCAGTCAAATCGTAATATCTGGTTTCTGGAAGCCCCGGCTCAGAGGAAACAGTGTTCCATGCGAGGTTGGACGTGTCCTATGTAAAGCAAGTCTTTATCCAGGCGTAAAACATTGCTCTATCGAGAACTTCCTGAAATTGAAATGACTGTCACCCAAAGAAATCAAATTATTCGGGAACGTTGCAGAGATACTGCTACTTGGCATTGCGACGCTATGATGAACGCTTATTTGGAAGATACGTCTTTTAATCGTGATTTCGATTTAACTTTTAAATCGATTTCGATTTAACTTTTAAATCGAAACCCAGTTTTAATTGTGAGGATAATACACCAAGCTTATTACGGTTGCCGGAGATCCTAAATGGCACAATCTAAAATACACAAATGCTTCGAGGCAGAGATAGCAGGTGTGTCCACTGGTGAGATTATAAGTATATGAGGTTATGAAAACATTGTGAAGGTTATTTATTTCATACAGACTACATTTAAACATTTTGGATATTTCTAAAAGTAGAACATTATTCCATGTTTCATTAAACTTGCCTGCCTATCACATCGAAGACGGACGTACATGTGTGTGTGTTATTATTTGCTTTAGCGTTACACACGCAGCTAACCCACTTTTAGATAACATAAATCGCTAGAATTGAGTGTTGCTATTCAGAATCCAACCACTTTATATGCTATGCTTTTAAATTATTCGTATAATATTACAGCGGTAAACGGTATTGTAGAGACATCTGTAGACCTATTTGTGATTTAAAATTTGTTATCAAATTAAAGTTTTGTACAATAGGTAGGTACCTACCTAATTTAAATGTGTATCTCATTTAAATATTAAATACAGATTAGTTTATGCAAATGTGATATAGCGTGGTTCGATTACATAAGGATAATTAATGAAAATCTGATTGAAAGTTGAAACAGGTTAGTAAAATAATACTAGTTATTGTTTTCAATTGTTTAAATATTAGTTTTACTATTTACATAGTCGCTTTCATACTCTTTACTTATGACTTACCTGTTTTCAATTTATATTTGATAATTTATCATTTTATCTTTTAGCACACAAAATATTTTTCTAATGGAGATACGTCCTTTGTCAGATGCTCTTCGTAAGAGAGCGAGAGAAGAGATTAATGAGAATCCAGAAACACTAGTTTCGAATTTCAATGAACTGAGAGAGTGGCTAAACGAACACCCCCAACTAAAATCAGAAATAATCTGTAAGTTCAGACAATGATATAAAACATTTTTAGTAAAAAAAACGGAAGATTTTTTTGCTTGACTAATTTTTTCATGAGACACTGATAGAACGCAGACGACGCGTGACTCGATGCCGAAAATCTTTATCTACTAAATCGTCTCTATACCTAATTACAACTAGATAAGACTTGTTTTAAGATTATATTGTACGGAATAGTTATTTTACACATTTTTTTAGATAAAACAATCATTATGTATATGAGTATAATTTGTAGTTCTCCGTGAAGTTTGAGGGCCAAGGTTAACAACAATATCGATAATAGATACATAGTTCGAAACGAAAAATAATAAATTGGTAGCAAATGATGAATAGATTGTCTAAAATAATATTTAGTATAGTGTTCTTTTTAATTTCCTTAATTTAAAATAATATTAACGTACTAAGAGGATTGTAACTATTATTATGTTGCTAGGAATACTTTCTGTCATTGATGTTATAAAATCATGAGTCATTTTTTTATATTCGACATTAGTGACATCTATTGAAAAACAATGAAAACTGGTTCAAGACAAACTTTGAAACCATTTCGCTTAAATTTTGTTATAGTTCCGACGATCTACATAGGTGGCGCTATTTAAATATCTTTATGTGTTCAGATATTTCTGTAGTAAACAGTTAATACAATTACTATTTATAAGTATCAACTGATTTTATCTAAGTGAAATGCATTGTTATGCAATTTCATATCATTAAAAATACTTTAGAAGCTTCGGAAGTGCTCGGTATTCATTTTATGGTAATGTAATGGGGATGAGCTCTGTTCGATGGTGGGTTGGCCGAAAAGGTAACAACACCTCTAACAGTGTTTCTGTTCTGTTCTAATCGTGATATCTTAAATGATATTTGCTTATCAGTCTGTATATTGAAAAATATACGAATATAGTTTATTTTCATTCTGAAAGTTTGACAGTGTCTCGGAGGAAGTCGTCGTGGCCTAACGGATAAGACGTCCGGTGCATTCGTGTTGAGCGATGAACCGGTGTTCGAATCTTAGACGGGTACCAATTTTTCTAATGAAATACGTACTCAACAAATGTTCACGATTGATTACCACGGTGAAGGAATAACATCGTGTAATAAAAATGAAATCCGCAAAATTATAATTTGCGTAATTACCACCACCAGGTAGGAAGGACCTCTTGTGAGTCCGCGCGGGTAGGTACCACCACCCTGTCTATTTCTGCCGTGAAGCAGTAATGCGTTTCGGTTTGAAGGGTGGGGCAGCCGCTGTAACTATACTTGAGACCTTAGAACTTATATCTCAAGGTGGGTGGCGCATTTACGTTGTGGATGTCTATGGGTTCCAGTAACCACTTAACACCAGGTGGACTGTGAGCTCGTCCGCCCATCTAAGCAATAAAAAAAAAGCATCGGAGTGTAGAAACCGTAGGTAGAAACACAGCAGCTTCCTCAAAAATATGTTCTTCAATTCCATTTTTAGTCGTTGCTTAATTGCAAACTATGCATGGTGTGTAAAAAAACTGAACCAGATATTCTGAAACTGGAACCTTAAGCTAAATAAGTAAGGTGGTTCATATTGCACGAATATACGTGTATATATTATATTCACTACATACAATTTGTTTTAGACCTGCAGATACCTTCAACATCAACAATAAAATTAATTAAACCACAAAATTAATCGCAAGTTGCTATTTACAGTCTCGAAATCGAAGTCTGCTTTAAATTTAATTGATTTCAGCTGACCAATGGTTGGTCGCTTTCCTTCGCGGCAGCAAACATAATTTGGAAAAATGCAAATCAAAAATAGAAAGGTACTACACTTTGAGCACTGCTGCACCAGAACTTTATGCAAACAGAGATCCTTTGGATCCGCAAATACAGGAATTGTTAAAATTAGGGTAAGCCAAAGCCAAAGAACATTTCAATGACGTCATCGGCAGATCCGCACAAAATTGTTTTTATCCGATATCTTTCTTTTGTAGTTTGTTTCTGCCGCTGAAGAAATGCGCAAGTGAAGATTCACCTCGAATAGTGTTAGTGCGAATGGGTGAGCTAAATAAAGTGCACGGAAGGTTGTCTGATATTTGTAAAATCGGATTTATGATAGCTGAGATACTGTTACTCGAAGATGATAATTTTACTATATGTGGCGAGGTGAAGTTTTATTTATTTATCTTATACCTTTAAACGAGCAATTCTTGTATATATATAATCTGAATCTCGGAAACGGCTCCAACGATTTTTATAAAATTTAGTATAGAGGGGATTTTTTTATTTTCAGAAAATGTTGTTTTATTCGTGTTTTCAATAATCAACTTTATTGATAATCAGAAACACACAGAAATCAAAAACAGACAAGCTTATTCCTCAAACGAATGTTTGTCCAATGTGGGATTGGAACCCGCGACTTTCAGTTCAGCTGTCCGGAGCGCTGACTACTATGCCACCGAGTTACAAATACATAAGACAAATTCAGAACCTCCGAGTTTTTAATTCGGTTAAAACTTAGAGACAATCGTGGTCTCGTCATAGACCTAGTGGTTTTTTGATACTGGAAATATTGATTTCGGCTACCGGCTTTTGTTTATTAGTATAATGAATCTGCTGTTAGCGTGAATGTCATCGCCGAACATTACTCCTTTTGAGACTTTGATCACTTTATCATAAGGTTCAGAATACATCATTTTTTTATTTTTGATTGCCCTTGTAGGAAGCTTAAACGGCCCTGATGGTTAGTGGTTACCGTCGTCCATAGACGTCTGCAATCCCAGCAGCTGAGCCAAGCCACTGCCTACCATTAAATATCCTACTTGCATTGAATAACCATAAACTTATTTTAGAATAATTTGAATGTTGATGTAAATATTTTAGGAACTTGTCTCCGACCTAAAGGATACGGGCTTCGGTTTGATAAGACAATGGACACCCGCATACGCCAGAAAGCTATTTATGTGTTTTGAAAATGCGCTAACTATCCGTATGACCAGAATTAACGTGCTAAACGCTCCTATTGGAATGAAAACAGCAGTCGCAATTTTCAAATTATTTTTAAAGGAAAAATTGAAGAAAAGGGTAATGTTTTCACGAATAATTCCGAGTTTACGAATAGTATCGGTTTTGTGTTCGCCTTCACTTTTCATGTTTACATAAGACTATAATGTCCATCGACAGCACGCATTGGTATAAGGACGATAGTAATTTAACGCATTAAGTCCACCAATGTAAATAATAATACATGAAATAATAAATAATTACAGGGGATTCACGCTAAAACCCACCATCACGACGAGCGAACTAACCCATAGACACAACCTTCTGAGTTTCTCGCCGGATCTTCTCAGTGGGTCGCGATTCCGATCCGGTGATAGATTCTGCGAAGCACTGCTCTTGCTACGGATAGTCTTAGCAAATTCTCTCAGGTTGAACCTGTAAAATCACCCATCCACTAGTGGCCGGAATAGCTCATTAAGTTATCAGTGAATAGGTAGGGAAAAAGAGCGTGATGAAGAAAAGGCGTACTTATACTTTTCAAATAAGTTTTGCTTGAGGTTTCAGAACTTCCGACGCCGATTCTATGCTCATGTCGACCTGTTTGATGCTAAGTGATTAATCATCGCCTTTGTTGAGGATGTGCTTGAGGTTTTGTTTGCATTGTTTAATGGTTGATGACTGTAATTTTTTTTATTGCTTAAGTGGATGGACGAGCTCACAGCCCACCTGATGTTAAGTGGTTACTGGAGCCCATTGACATTTACAATTTAAATGCGCCACCCACCTTGAGATATAATTTATAAGACCTCAGTATGATTACAACGGCTGTCCCACCCTTCAAACCGAAACGCATTACTGCTTCACGGCAGAAATAGGCGGGGCGGTGGTACCTACCCGTGCGGACTCACAAGAGTTTCTGTAACACCTGTAAATATTACTCTGTGAACTACTTTGCATCAATGTTTCTAGACAAAGATAGGCGGGATGGGTTTATCTGTGCGAGCTCAAAATACGCCTTACGATTATCAAAAAACTAGCAAAATTGTATGATATACAAACTTGCGTTGGCAAATAAGAAAACAGTACTAAATATATTTAGCTCTTAGAGTCGTAAACATTGACATAGGCTGTAAGAGAATCGTCCCCAGAATCGCAAACGAAATCACTATACATAGTTACAAACATCAGATTTAGAAATGTGTATTTTTGCATAAGTTTTTTTTGATAACACAATGTTATACAATCAAGTGATGCTTGGAGTTAATGAACTACCTTAATCGAGTCGCTGACTTCCACTAACTGTCACGTTGAGCTTTGGTGAGTTTTGTACGCTGTACGTTGCAAGCACACGAAGTAATAATCTATTAAATCGATAAATGTGCTTAGCTCAGTAATTCTTAGTAAGCTAATATGGTTTTTTAAAGCTTCATTTGGATAGCTATTATTTAACTAAAGTTTTGGAACGAAGTTCCTCTTGCGACGATGCGGAGGGGTACCCTAACCGGGAAAAAACGTCCGTAACGTAAGATTTTTATTAGTAATGCACACAGTGTACGACTTAACTTTGTAATAACGTACAAATTAGTAATGCACACAGTGTACGACTTAACTTTGTAATAACATACAAAAAATAACATATTTTTTTATCATTCATTGACCACAATCTCAGAGGGTTGCGCAATACACTAACTCTTATGCAAACAACCGTGAATGAAGTGTACCACAATAAGTTCGCAAGTTACTGAATGACCGTGGGTTGTTGCGAAATCTCTAGTTTTATTTTCTTTATACGTCGAATATAACTTAAAATTAATATTTTTATAATAAGGAACTTCGTTCCTATCCGGTGTCCCACGACACCACACATCTTTTTTAATTTTGTTATCCATAGCTTTAAGTTTTGTAATTCTTCTAATTCTACTTGCTACATTACTAACGCTTCGGTTTCGGGCGCAATTTACTTGCATTTGCGCCTGCAGGTTGAATGTTGCTATAGCGCAGTGTTGCTATGATGTAAGCAAAACTGCTTAAAGTATAAAAAATATACTCAAATACCTAACAAGATTACATTTATTTTAATAGATATACGTATACAACGAGGACTATGAAGAGATGTTTAAATACATACCGAAATCATTGCTGCCGAAAGAATACGGAGGCACTGAAGGCACCTTACAAGATTTGACAGGTACGATGACGTCACGTATTTTCTGAGTTTGGTAGATATTTGGTAATCACTTTGTTAGTAAAATTTGTTTTTGATTTCAATTATGGCGCTGTACATTGGTAAATGAATTCTTCAACCGCTCACCAATTTGAACTTGACTGAAAATTGGCTGTTATATTTTTGATCACGTGCCTGTCACGAAATCGTATTAATCTTGAAGAATTTTATTTTAAGAACTTTATTTAAAAAATAATTGGTTTAAATCGTGCTAGTCTGTCAGTTTTTATATTATACTAGATGACCCGGTGAACATTGTTCCGCCTTAGAGGCAATAAATGAGCACACTTTTGATTTTATCAAGCTCAATTTTTGATTTGGATAATTAATGTAAATTAAAGAAGTAAATATTTTAATAATTCTTTATTGGCCATGTATTTTAGTTGTTATTATTATTATTATATTTTCTTGTCCTTCTTTAGTCCTTTCACTCGCAATGTTTCGAATCCTATATACATAGTTAGTTGCATTACGGCTTCGTCGGGAAAGATTTGATCGTGTTGGTCGCGGCATGGCTTTCTTAATGATTACCTATCTCGGCACAATAAGCTAATAGAAACTCGAAACATCAACCGGTCAACTTCAAAATTATACTATAATTATCCATAGGCTACATTACGTTTAGCTGTCAGTTGTGTTTTGTTATTCCATATCAGTTGCGTTTTGTTATACTTCGTTCTATGTCACGTCCCACGGGAATGTGATAAAAAGTCCTGTCCTATCCTATGTCCTTTTCCTGGTTCTAAGCTACCACCCCACCAATTCTCAGCCAAATCAGCTCAGCCGTTCTTGAGTTATAAATAGTGTAACTAACACGTCTTTCTTTTATATATATAGATATTGGCATTACTTTGATGTCTATGTTTTAAATATGTAATATTTGTATATTGTAATGGAGAGTACTTAATGGTAGGCAACGGCTTGGCTGTGCCGACGTATATGGGCGACGGAAACCACTCACCATCAGATGGGTCGAAAGCTGGTCCGCCTATAAGGGCAATAAAAAAATCTCCGGTACTTTTTTGCACTTAAGATCCAGGTCTAGGTCATCTGAATCATTAAGTTTTATTCGCTTTGTGACAACAAAGGGCTTTAAATTATATTTATATATAATAAAGAAGAGGGAAATTAATAACACTATTTATGTATTGTTTATTATACACAAATCATGTCTAAACATATTTAAAAGAACTACTAAAAGTTGTATTACAAATGACTTATCCTTGTGAATTTTCATAAAATTATTTTTTAGTATTTAGTTAAGCCAGCATAAGTTATATATATTTTTTAATTTACAATTTATATTTCAGATCATTGGAAGAACAAAGTGGAAAGTTACCGGTCTTGGTATTTGCGAGAGAATCTAAAAGATTGATGAGATAGAACATACAAAGCCATCTTCAGAAAACCTATCGTTTGAAATCTTTCCTGAATACTTATTGAAATTTTGTGGTGATAAATAAAGTGAAGAAATAACAATTTTTATTCATTTAGTTTTCTAACATTCCATTTTGGTACGAATAAGATATTATATATAAACGTAAATTACCTAACTATAAATTTATGGAAGGCGCTTTTTAGTTCTGGGCTCTAAAGTCTTCATCTACATTCCTGGCCTAGTATCCTTTCATGTTTCTTTGTTTTCACGGCATTGTGTCTTTTTTGCTGACTTGTTCCTCTTCATCGGTGGGTTGTCTTGCACCCTTACATTACTTGGGGGAAGGGGAAGGGTGAACAACTCATTTCTGACCTTTTTTTTCCCTACCTATGCTGATAGCCTTGAGAGGCTATTTCAGCTTCGCCCTAACGTTTGTAGGAGAGCTCATGGGGCTCAAACCGGAGAGTTGCTAACACTGACCCTAGCAAGAGCAGTGCTTCGCAGAATCTACCACCGGATCGGAAACGCGACCCACTGAGAAGATCCGGCGAGAAACTCAGTGGGCTGTGTCTATGGGTAATTTCGCTCGTCGAGACCTTCGTCGCAAGCGACGGGTTCGACGAGGACGGTGATCGGTGCTTGTGGTGCCTAAAAGCACTGTTAATGGATCAGGAGGATCCGTAATGTTGTGCTTTGGGCGACGTCGACGGTTTACCATTCGGTTCGGTCTACAGGGTCCAGTATGTAGTTTCCAGCGGCCACGACGAGGGTTCTCATGTCGTGCCGCCTTCTCAAAGTGGCGCAGCGATGCCGACTGTAGATACTTACATTTCTGACACAACGTCCGGCTCCAATTATCGTGGGGAGATTCTGCTGAGCCTGCCTCCTTACCCGCACAGCGTGCGTGGTGAGATGACATAAGGCCTCGATCAATCTCGCATCGCAGGTACCCGACGCTGGATCTAAACCCGACATCCGCAAGATGATTACTGAGCTTTCCTGGGACAACTCATAAACGGACTGAAATGTGTAGACTGCTGCGGTCTTCCTCGCATTGACCGCAGCCTTCCACCAGTCCATGTACTGTAGTAGAACATCTAACATCTTCTGCATTGTTGAGATGGTCTCTGAGGGATTTTTTTTTATTGCTTAGAAGGGTGGACGAGCTCACAGCCCTCCTGGTATTAAGTGGTTACTGAAGCCCATAGACATCTACAACGTAAATGCGCCACTCACCTTGAGATACCGAAACGCATTACTGCTTCAAGGCAGAAATAGTTAGGGTTATGATACCTACCCGTGGGGACTCCCAAGAGGTTTTACCACCAGTAATTACGCAAATTATAATTTTGCGCTTTTGATTTTTATTACACGATGTTATTCCTAAGTCAATCGTGAACATTTGTTAACAACTTGCTAACAGCTTGTTAACAAACAAGCTATAAGTAAGGTATCCTTAGTTACAGTGGCTTTTCTGTTCCGTGGTATCTTTCGGGTCGTATGCAGTAAACGACGGCTATTTAAAAATAATCTAATGGGAATATTATTTAGATGAATTTGTCTTGTCAATTTGATATTTAATGTTACAGAGTATATTTGCCGTTAAGGAAATGTGCCCGTGAAGACTCTCCTCGCCCCGCTATCATCAGAGCAGGCCCACTTTACAAACATCAGCATGCAGTCGCTGATTTAATCAAGATAAGTTTCATGATCGCGGAAATACTGCTTTTGGAAGACGACAACTTCACCGTTGCGGGCAAAGTGAGGCCTCACCGTCACTACTTATAAATAAATATTAAAATAACTGATAAATGGTAGAAACTTCTTTGGTTTTTGTTTAATATATTATTTGGATATATTGTACTGCTGGTTTCCGAAATATATAAAATATATTTCATCGCACAATAGGCTCGCAGTGCTGCAACCCTAAATTATCTATTGATAAAAATACAGACTGCAATTAAGTAGAGGTCTTACTGATATCTTTGATACACGTAAAATGCACGTGTTCAAAACGAAAAAATAATCACCAAAGAAAAGAAAAAAAATTGTCATTCATGTAGTTTCATATCAAAAAAATGTTTTCGTACGGATAGAGTCCGCTAAATTCACGGCCCACCTGATGTTAAGTGGTTACTGGAGCCCAGATACATTTACAACTTCTTTTTAAGCTATTGCATAGCTTCTATCGCGGGCCTTGAGCGCGGCGACTGAATCAAGATATTCCGTAACGAAAATAACCTGACACCTCCACTATGCCTACTATGTAGCTCGCGTTCAACACATTCACACGTTACGCTGGTGTAGTGTTTGTGAATAAGCGCGCGGCGTGACGTCGCACTGCGTGAGCATCATGAAAAGTCTGCCCATCTCTCTCTCACGCGGTCTAGCTTATGAGTGTGAAGGGGACAGTTAATGTTTTGCTTTTGTTAATGTTTATAAATATAGCGTGGTCTTTTTTATTATTGTTTTAATATTAAATTATTATTGTCTAATTGTAATTGCATAAGTTGATAAAAAATGCTTTGCAATAGTTTTACCGCGGCAGTCCCCGAGTGCCACACGTCTTTTTTTTTCATAGTTGGGTGGACGAGCTCACAGCCCACCTGGTGTTAAGTGGTTACCGGCGCCCATAGACATCTACAACGTAAATGACGCCACCCACCTTGAGTTATGAGTTCTGAGGTCTCCGTATAGTTACAACGGCTGCCCCACCCTTCAAACTGAAACGTATTACTGCTTCACGGCAGAAATAGACAGGGTGGTAGTACCTATTCGTGCGGACTCACAATAGGTCCTACCACCAGTAATTGCGCAAATTATAATTTTCCTTGTTTGATTTTTATTACACGATGTTATTCCTTCACCGTGGAAGTCAATCTTGAACATTTGTTAAGTACGTATTTCATTAGAAAAATTGGTACCCGCCTGCGGGATTCGAACACCGTTCTATTGCTCGACACGAATGCACCGGACGTTTTATCCGTTAGGCCACGACGACTTCAGAAGTTGAAGTGCTTATTCAGTGTTTGAAGTAGTGTACATACATTTTTGAATATCAGCGTGGTTATTCAATTGCTGTCGTGGGATTAAAACTATTGTTTTAGTATTTATTCCATACGTTTAGTTTAGTATATCGTATATAAATTTGAAAGTTGAATAACAAACTACGAAGATTATGTTTCTTATATTTTATAGCAGAGGGAAGACTGAGAAAGCATAATATCTTATTACCTTCATCGAAAGTCAAAACAAGATCGACCATGCAACATTCTTACATCAGACAATTGGCTTAAACTTACCAACGTTTCAGATTCAAGGTTGCGGTTCCAACTATGAAGACATTTATGAAAATCTTCCGAAATCTATTCTCCCCGAGGTATATGGAGGAACTGACGGCAGCGTGCAAGAATTGATAGGTATTTTTTTTTTTATCCGTAAATATATTTGTTATTGTAAACGAAGCAACACGTTCGATAAGTATTCGAAATCAAAATAAATTTGATCGGCCGGCTTATCGTTTACCAAACAAAAAAAAAACCCGTTCCTTTTCAAGGGCACCGAGAGATTGTCGGTGACAATACGGATGACGAAAGCGTGTTTCTTTGAAATTATACTCCACAGAGTAAAGGTATCTATAGATAGTAGTATATCATCGGCCAGTTACATCGGCGGTTATGACTTCATTAACTTCTCCCGTCCGGGTATAACTGGAATAGCCTCTTAGGCTACCAGCGAATAGGTAAAAAAAAATTACTTCACGTCAACAGCAATTGGCTCATTAACATAATAAGCACTTTTTGCTGTCTTGCTCTTACCCAGCTAGGAGATGGGGAATGAGCTGAGCTCATACACAGAACAGCGTGAAATTCACCGTCTACTTTATTCCAGATGAGCCATTAGCTCGTTTGCCCATGAATAGAAGAGACTGCGACCTCATGTCTCGAGTTGTGTTGTATATAGGCTCCGGTAGCCGTTTCTGAAATCTGATGTTAAAGTCATTAACGGTCGTCTGGTGTAGTTGTAAGTGACATGGTCACTACACAAGGGGGTCGCGGGTTCGAATCCCGCCAAGGGAAGATATTTGTATGATAAATATAAATGTCTTTTCCAGGATTGTTATTAAATATTTATTTATTTATTTATTACTTATAAATATTTTAGAAATTTGAGTAAATTTAGGAACTTTAGTAATTTTATTTGTTGCACAGACTACTGGAAAAATAAGGTGGAGAGCTACAGGGACTGGTTTTTACATCAGGAGCGGACTTCCTGAAGATAGTTTTAAGTGGACTTAATGTTAGTAAATATGATAAAAACAATTACATTAATAACGTTGGTAAATGCCGGAGTTGTTTAAAAAAATATTTATCTTAAAATACTTATTAATAATTAATACTAATTTATTTATTTATCATTTAATTATTCTAGATTAACATTAAGCTAGACATGTAATATAACGGACGGTTTTATGAATTATTTGTTTCAATTTTATTCCTATTTTTTATTATCTTCGTAGGGCCGGTAAGCATACGACCCATCTGATGGTGAATAGTAACCGTCGCTCATCGACATCAGCAATGGTAGGGGCATAGCCATGCATCTGCATACCGCTAAGTACTCTCCGAACGTCTCGTTTGAAGAAGGACATGTCATAGCGCTCAGGAAGCACCGTAGAAGGAAGTCCATTCCAGAGCCGAAAGGTACGCGGTAGAAATGTTCTGTGTGCTTAGTGCGAGTATTTTAAACGTTCTGGATAGCGTAAAAGTTAACCCAATTTTGTATGCAATTGGAACAGCGCCCCTTACGACAAACGTAGGCAAACGATCCCATTCCATACAAATATGAGCTAACTTTTACGCTATCGAGAACGTTAAAAAATTCGCACTGTCGATGAACGCAGCGGTACCAGATAGTATTGATGAATTCTGTTTCGGTGGCGGGAGGTGTGATGGTAAAAAGGCGATGCAGGGATGCAGGGAATTTGTTCGAGATGATCCTTCCTATATGAAGTCAAATCGTAGTATCTGGCTTCTCTGGCTCAGAGAGGAAACAGTGTTTCATGCGAGGTTGGACGTGTCCTATGTAAAGAAAGTCTTTATCCAGACGTAAAACATTGCTTTGTCGAGAGCTTCCGGAAATTGAAATGACTGTCACCCAAAGAACTCCAATTATTCCGGAATGTTGCAGAGATACTGCGACTTGGCATTGCGACGCTTATTTTGAAGATACGTCTTTTAATCGTGATTTAAAAGTACCCAGTTTTAATTGTGAGCATAATACGCCACTACGGTTGCCGCCGTTGCCGGCGATCCTAAATGGCACAATCTAAAATACACAAATGCTTCGAGGCAGAGATAGCCTGTGTATCCACTGGTGAGATTATAAATATTGAGGTTATGAGAACATTGTGAAGGTTA